CTCATGGAGGGGGGACTGATGCCATGAGAGATGAGATAGCACCGTGATGTTGGCCTCTGTTTCTCATCTCAAGATTTCATTAAGAGCTCTTATAGACAACATGATGAGTGGTGATCTGAATCACAGCTGGAAAACTCTTTAGATGACAGCTTGGAAATGTAGCTACGTTTACTAGCAAAAGAAGGTCTTGATTGAAGAAACACAATTTGTTGAATATGAAAAATATATAACCCGGTCTTTGAAAATGTAACTTTTTAAGATGTTTTATAGAAGGTTATCTTATTAATTGTATGAAATTGCACTTGCGTAAGACCAATCATCAAATAATGTTGGGACAGAGTAAACAGTCAGTGGATTTTGAAAACATCCCACAATTAATGGAGGGAGATGATCCTGTCGCCTATAACCTTTTGAGTGTTATTGTGTAAAATAATTAACCCTGATCAATATACGGTATATGTGCAGCAGATTAAACTCATGGGTAATGCTCTGGTTTGTGAGCATTTTCATATTTAGTTTGGTGGAACCGTCAGAAAAAGACCTATACTCCATTTCCATACGGTTGTTTTGAAACACTCACCTGCAGGGGAGGACGCCGAAGTAACGACTCCACCTCGATGCATCCGCCTGAAGGCTGATTGGAGATCAGTTCTGTATCAGTCTGCTGTCTCCATCTCAGCAGGGCCACCCAAGCGGAACAAACATAGTCAATTTGGTCTGTTATCGCTCAAACACACCTGGCCTGGCAGCGTCACAACTCTCTGTGTGTGTGTGTGTGTGTGTGTGTGTGTGAGTGAGAGAGAGAGAGAGAGAGAGAGAGTGACAGATGTTTTGCTATATATTTAGTGCAAATATTTGTACAGGATTAAAAGGGGAAAATTGTGATTTTTACGCATTAGAAGACATCATTTGAAATATCTCTGTGATGATTGAAGTTAATGCTCCACTTGCTCACTATGATGACAGATGGAAGTATAGATAAAAGCATTTGTGCGTGCAAGAATTCGGCATGTGTGTTTGTTTTGCTTTGGGGAGTCAGTGCATTGCGGTTTGCAGAAAGCACTTGATGCATTAGCAAAGTGAAAGTGTTGCAGGGAGCCCTCAGTTTGTGTCATAGTTGCCCGTTGAGCTCCAAACTGACGCTGTTTCGTTGGCATCTAGAGGGAGGAGGGCAGAAATAATGAGAGGCATAAAGAGGAGATTGTGAGAAGTTAAGAGGGTTAGATAATGAGAGAGAGAATAGGAGGGATAAGGGAGAGAGGCAGAGAGAGAGAGTGAGGGAGAATATGCAGATCTAGGTCAGAGAGGCAAAGCAGACGACAAACAAGTGGAGCAAGGGATGAACAGAGTCTCAAAGCTGCCCCCTCTAAACGGGCCGGAGCAGGGAGAGAGTGGGCATCCTTAGAGGACAAGAAGGAGAGAAAGAGGATAACAACACATATTTATATTCCATTATTTGTTATTTACAGGGCTTCAGCAAACATCTATTTTCATTTTTGGTTGGCGAAGCATAATAACTGGAGGAAGGAGATATAGCTAAGTTAGCTAGTGCTTTCAAAAGACTCAAGACTAGAGACTATTGAGAATGGATTCTTCTTCAAAATAATTCTTTATGCAAAAATGGTAGAACATTTAAACCTCTCAAACATGGAGATTTAATGATTTATTAGTTAATTTAAAGACATCTATTTGCCCTTTTCATTAACTTGATGGACATGTTTTTAAAAATGTTGGGGACATTTTATAAATGGTAGAAAATAATCTGCATATTTATTTATTTATAATTGTCCCTTGTCCAAATTATAAAAATGTGGTTTCCAGAACGTACATGTGAAAATAATCATTTGTTGTTTAACCTGCCGTTACATGCCACTATTTGTGGATGAGCAATAGCCAACAAAAAAACGAAATAAGGTTCTTAACAACCAAAGAATGCACAAAATAGCTGCTTAGACGGATAAACTGTTGTTGTTGTTGTTGTTAGTGAGCTTTACTGGTGTAGGCATGTTCTTGAAGATTATAGGCCAGGCTACAGCAGCTGTTTCCATCAGGTTTAACGCCTCCTGGCTCCATCTGTACTTAACAAACAGATATGAGAATGATATTGTTCATCTAACAAACTATGTCAAATTGTTACTTTAATGCGTGAATTATTGTGTCAATCATTGGACTTGTTTTGTGCAACCATCAGTCCAAAACCCAAATCAATTCTGCTGCTGTATATAACAGAAAAAGGAGCGATAATCCTCGCATTAGAGAAGCTAGAATCAGCAAATATCTTGGCATATTAGTTTGATAAATGACTGTTGATGAGACTATTCACTTGACTCATGGTTTCAATAATAATCATTTGCCTTTCCCCCTTGCTTTGATATAATTGTTCCACACAATATCCTGTTAACTGCTTTGGTGATGATATTTAATTTTGTGTTCATGTAACCAAAGACCCCACGCCATCCCCTCTTTGAATGTGCAAATCCATGAAGAGGGGGAGGACCGAGACGGAGCGAGAGATGAAGAAGAACAGACAGCGCTAATTCCTTTCTGTTGCTCCTTTCACACTTGGTCATTTAATAAGGCTGGATGACATTACTGCTCTAGGAAGGAAGGAAGGAGAGATAGAAGGAGGGAGGGAGGGAGGGAAGAGGCTCTGAGAGTAATGGATCTTGATCCAGCTCTGATGATGTCCATGTCCAATATCTCTTGGACACATTCGCTCTGTCCTGCTCTCTTACAGCCTTTGTATCTCCCTCTTCACGTCTCTGTGTGCACATGTGTGGGTGTGTGCATGCTTCTGCCTGTGCGAGAAGCGGAGAAAAAGAGAAATCTTTCTGTGTTTTCTGTGTCGGTGTATGTGTGCAAGCGTGTGTGTGAGTTTCTGATTTGTAAGTGGCTGTAATTCCTTTGTTGGACTCCAACAAAGCCAGTCCTTGTGCCTCGAGGAATTGGGGCAGTCTGATCCTAATGAGAAATCCCTGTTCAATCTTTCCAACTCTTTTACTCTCACAGAGGCTGGATTCTGTTTGTGTGTGCGTGTGTGCGTGTGCGTGTGTGTGTGAGAAATGAAAGACTGATCACAGTGTTCAAATATCCACTGGTGCTTAGTTTGCATTATGCAGTGCTGGACTGTGACACAATGAAGTATCATTATTAAATCCCTAACTTTCATTCGTTCAGCAATAAATCAGCAAGTTTAAAAGTTCCCTTTTTAATTCAAAAGAGCTGTTTAATGAGAAATGTAATTCATGGCTTTAAATAGCCTTCGTTCTGGGACCTCAGCTGATGTTAACATATTGTCAGACATCATGTGGGAAATCACCGAATGTACAATGGTTGCTCTGAGAACATACTGTAATAGCTTCTTGAAATGTAAACAAATTGGAGAGACTTTGTAAGCATAGTATGCAAGTGAAGCCGTTTGTTTTTAGGACGTTTGAGAAATACCTATAATAATTGTCTGTCCCGTCTTTCATTTAGAGTTTGAACCCCAGTGTAGCACATGTTTAAGGGGCCCAATGAGCAAAAACATGCCTTTTTGTGAGATCATATCCTTGTAATAACCTGTTTCTACTTTGTAAAACTGCAGTGCGGAGGAACAAGAACGTTCTGAGCTGCCTACATAATATTGCAGTTAATAACTGTGTATTGAATAACCTCCAACTCAGCTATTAATGGAGTCAAGTGAGTTTTCAGGAGCCTCTGGGTACAGTACAATTGATCCGTTAAAACGACATAAAAATAGATAGTGACAATGACTAATGATCAGTGTTAGGGTGCAGAGAGACTGTCCTGCTGCTGGGAAATCACTCCTGCAAGTGAATAACAAAGCAATGAAGCCTCAAACTTGTTCCCATAATATACTTTTGTTGTTATTGAAGCATAAAGCCTTTGTTTTGGCTGAAGCGCTCATTATCAGAATGGCCTTTCGATTAAAGCCCTCAGGAGGCGATCTCGAGCCAAAACCCTTAATGCCATCTGGTTTATACTGCAACACTTCCACCAAGGAAACAGTCCTGCCCTTGTTTTGCGTATGTGTGTGTAGTACCCTTCACTATGTGTGTGTGTATTTGTTTGTGCTGCTACGCTGTTCTGCTCAGACTGTAACATGCTAATCAGTTGATTCCAGACAGGTGGAAGTAATAGCCGTCAGAGTTTTTAGCGTCTCTCTCGCGGTTAGCTTCATTAGCTGATCACAGGCGCAGATGCTCTGTTGCAAACGAACCTCCTGGGTCTTCTATTCCCCCCCCCCCAGCGCCCAATCTCCCGGTTCCTCGCCTCCTATCTCCCCCAAGGCATCTGACTAGCCTCAATATTACACAACATGGCAACGTTTTGTAACGGTATCTGTCTAAATGTGTCTGTTTCTCCATGTTTTATATATTATACACAGTCTGTTAAAAGGCAGTCTTGAGTCAAACGGAAACAAAAGCTCTAGTTTGTCTGTTCTCACAAACGATACTCATGTAAACAAATCTTTAACAGTTGGAAAAAGAGGACGTCACGATTATTTATTCATCAATCAGTATTTTTGATCAAATTCTGATGAGAGAAGTGGAGTTTTTTGCTCGTTTTGTTCTAAAAATGCAGATTACATGAGTTTTTTTACTTTGATTTATGCTTTCATTCATCCAGTCATGAATATTGAATGTTTCAGAGAATTGTGCAGCGTCAGAAAACATTAATAACAGCATATTGGTGGTGGGTAGAACACCTGGTTATATCTAGGATTGTGCCTTTTAAAACGAATACGTATAAGTAATACTCATATACACTTTGTGAGTATTTCCCTCATTGTATGTGTTGCTTATAGGACAGGATCACCTTTGAAAAGTCCTGCTTACTATTGTTTTCTATCGCAGTATTGACTGATTTATACAATGATATAAATATGTCATGTGCTGCATTTCTTCAGAAAATTGTCAAATGTGAAACGACATTGACATTTCTCTTCTTTATTCTCCCTCTCCCTCTCCTTTCCTCATCCTCTCTTCTTCCACCAGGGTCGCCATGTTAAGACAGGGCAGCTCGCAGCCATCAAGGTCATGGATGTCACTGGGGTAAGACACACACACACACACACACACACACACACACACACACACACACACACACACACACACACACACCTACCTAACACACGCCTAACACACACACACTCGCCACACACGCACAACTAATCATCCCAAGTGATTATAACACCATCAACCATATCATCTTATTATGAGCGATGAGTCAGTGTGTGTGTGTGTGTGTGCATGTGTGAGTGTGTTGTGGCAGAGAGGAAATGAGGACAGGCCTATTGCCATGGTAATATTAGCTGAAAGTAATAGGACAGCATCGTGGTCTCAGGCGTGTCTGAAGCAGGAGGGAATCTCAGTTATATTTAGAGATCCTCTCATTCTGCCAGAGAAGCAATGAGGACAGCCGGAGTAAAACAACAACAATGGAACTGATGAATGAATGTGAGCATGAATGACTGAATAGGAAATGAACATATGAAGTATAACGATGAACCAATGAAAGAAAAATACCAATGGAACAGATGTGTGAAGCATGAATAAACAAATAAACTGACTGTGTGAATACATCTGCTTTAATACAATGAAAATAAATGACTGTATTCATTGATGATTGCAAATTAAATGAGTGGAAACACTAACATTTGGTAACTTAATGAGCTCCAAAATGGGCTTACTAAAACAAATGTTTTTGTTTTCACAGCTGATGATCGCTAAATGAACGTAATCAAGGCCTCATTTTCTGACATAATGAATAAGAAATTAGGGTTTTAACCAACTGCCATCACAACAACTTGTTCTTAACAACTGCTTTTTGCTTTTGTGGCAGTAACCCCCTAAAAGGAAACTAATTAAAAAGTAATGCTATTGTGGTTAATTGAGCGGCCATCAGTTTATTTTTAAATGGATTCATAAAGCAAATCCATTCCCTTTGCTGTATCACCATCCTATTAATATGTTTGAGGGGTCACACATAGAGGTCGCGGTTTAATGCCTGTTGATATTTCTCTTCTGCCAGGACGAGGAAGAGGAGATTAAAGCGGAAATTAACATGCTGAAGAAGTACAGCCACCATCGGAACATCGCCACCTACTATGGAGCCTTCGTGAAGAAAAACCCCCCTGGCGTAGATGACCAGCTCTGGGTACGCTAGTATCCGTGTGTGTTGGTGCATGTTTTATATTCTGTGCATCTCTCCTGAGTTTAACTTGAAGAGAGGAAGGCTGTCGTTTCCAGGAGAGCCACAGAGCAGAAAAGAAAGAAGGGACTTTCCATTTTTCACTGCTACACTTACTGTATGTGAAAGAAGCGAGTGTTGAGTTTGCTCGAGCACGCAGCGAATGTGTGCATTGAAGTATGTGTATATACTTTGTGTGAAATACATCAAGGATATGAGTTACTGTGCGTGGCTCGCTGGCTGCTGCAATAAATCAAATGTTAATGCGATCTAAGGGAGCTTTCTCTTCTCTGATCCTGTAGCATTCATCACGTAACAATGGGAGAATACACACACACACACAGACACACACACTCACAACCATATGGATATACACAAAGCAGCCAGATATACTGCCTGCATAATTCCTCCTGACTCAACAGCTGCCTGTATGAGTGTGTTAGTAAGTGCACAAGCTGTATGTCTGCGTGCTTTGAGATGTGTCCCGTTATGTGTATGCGTAAATGAGTTTTCTTTTGTATTTGCGTGCTGCTGGAGTACTTGTGCACAGCCTGGAGGAGAAGGGGTCGGGCCATTACTCGCCAACTTCCTCTCCCTGTTATCCAAAGTGATGATGAGAGGAGCTTGAAGCGAGGCCAGAACTGACCAGCAGCTGAAATTGTGCCCAAAAATCTCCTCCCTAAATGAGTCCGGGAGAGGAGGCAGCTGAGGATAGGGAGAGGAGAAAAGAGGAGAGGGGTTGACAGAATGGACACATTGTGTTTGGGTCAAGAGATGGACTTGATGTGTTCATGTGAACTGCTGACCTCGTTGAGTCAGTAGTTCTGTGTGACAGAAGAAGAGTCCTTAAAATGGCTGTCTGTCCATGTGTGTTCACGTGTGTGTGTGTGTGTGTGGGTGTGTGTGTGTGTGGGTTGTTTCTCTCAGTAACGCTATTACAGTAATGTGATTATGGGTTCTGTGTATTTTCTTTGTAATGTGCATCATGTTGAAGAAAGCACATTTTATTCTGTGCACATGCGCCAGTGGTTCAATGGAAATGAAAACATCCAAGAGTTACCATAGTGTTGGTATTGGAGAAACAGACCAATAGCAATATCAGTACTAAGGAATATTATATATCCCAAAAATATTTATGACTAATTTTGTGTATAAAGATTTGCGTAGTAAATATATTTACACATGATGAAAATATATTTCATTTTTTAAGTATTCACAGTCAGGTTTTGACTGTTTTCTGAAGGTTTATAGACCAAATCAATTACTTGTCAGATTATTAAATAATTAAAATAATTGTCCTGCTTTTAAAGATGACACCACAGGGTAGACTTAAAAATAAGTACATTTTGAGCAGGACCTTAAATGTTACAATAAAACTATTTATAAACACATAAAAAATGCTGCAAATAAAATATATGTCTATAGTTTATTTTTGTATATTTGACCTGATATTGGCGCAGAACTGAACCTACAAGTTGCTTGACTGACTGTCGATTAAGCCATGTGTAGGTTTTATTTGATTATGTAGAGACATTATTAATAAAAGGAAAAAAAGGAAGGTTATTTACAAGCTTTTGTTTATCTAAGTCAGGTGCATATTTGGAGTAACTGTCTTGTTTGGATCAGATACTAGACCTGCTTCTTGTTGCAGAACGTTCATTAATCCACTTGTGTGTGTGTTCAGCTGGTGATGGAGTTCTGTGGCGCCGGCTCAGTGACGGACCTGATCAAGAACACCAAGGGAAACTCTCTGAAAGAGGAGTGGACCGCCTACATCTGCCGGGAGATCCTCAGGGTGAGTGGCCATGATGCCGAGTCACTGTTTATTGTTTACTATACGAAATTATTGTTTGTGAGTTTCGAAAAACAACAGAAAGAGATCCTTGGTGATGAATAAGACCATTGTGTGTAGAAACGAAACAGCTGTTTGATTATTCATTTTCAGATTCATCATCTCACTGATTCAGCTCATGACTCAGTTCTGTCTGGCATCAATGCACTAATGAGTTTCTTGTATTTGTTATTTTCTATAGCGTAAAACAAAATGTCCCCTGTGCAATGTAAACTAATCACTACTACTGTAGGATAGTGTGTTTTCCATGTTGTCTTAATTAAAATCAGTACTTATGCTTAAAATAAAACATATTATAACATATGAATGAATTTTCTTTCTTTAGAAAATGTCTTTATCTACACGTATTTTTTTTTATTAAAACCCCTTAGGGTCTTGTAACATATTAATGAAAGTGTTGAGGTAATGGATTTGGCATTCATTTCAAGGTTCAAGGTTCTTTATTGTCAAACTAACATAGCTACAGAGTAATTATGTTGTTGAAAATCTTATGTCACAGGCTTCTCCAGCAATGCAACATAATAACAATACAGATAGCAAGAGCAATACAAAAGAAAAATAGTTATAAAATAAAGTGAGCATGTGGAATAGTGCAGTACGAGTCTATATACAAGTTATTGGAATGATATATATTAGATATTAGATACATATTACTGAGTAGCAGATGAATGTTTTGAAGTTGTTTCAGCAGTTCAATTGTTTAACAGTCTCAATTTAATTTAATTCTCATTTAATGTGATAATGTCTTAGCTTATCTTCATGTTATCCTCAGTTCATGAGTATCTTATCATTGACATGATATTTCACAGCAATCAGCAGTTGTTTGTGTTCTGTGGTTTCCGTGTGTGTGAGTAACGTATTGAATCTTTTTTGGAAATCGCTCTCGTTCCCCAGAATCTAATCTCTTCTATCTGTTTTGGTGCCGGTTTTTCGATGAGGGCCATAGCCTCAGACAGAGCCAGTTATACGCAGCGTTGCACTGAACTGAGACAACAATGATTTCCTTTCATCCACTTTTATTTCTCTCTTCACCCCTCATTTCTCATCTTATTTTGCGCTCTCTGCCTCCTCTTCCCCGCTGTGATTTGGTCTTTTTTCTGCGAGCCTTTTTTCGTGTTACATATCGTCTCTCTGTCTTCTTCCCTTTTGTATTTCTTTTACTGAGGCTTTTATTTGTTCCTGTTGTATCCTTGTCTTGGTGTTATTTTAGTCATTTTACATTCGATATAAAATGCTTGACTAAATGAGGACCCTAACCCTAACCGGACACCTTCATGAATCTGGCTTGGATTACATATACCAAACCTCTGATATAACAGTGATATATGGTGTAAGTTCAGTTATGATGGCAAGAAACACCATCTCAATCATTGCATTTCCAAATTGATTACAGAAAACATGCTAATATCACACTTTAAAAAGGTTTCTCTTTGAATATATAGAAAGGTTGTTTGATTTGTGTGACAAAATGAAAACACTTTTACAGAAAGGCTTTGCTACAGATATTCACGTGGTGTATTTTTATCCAAAAGGGATATACAAATACTGCAGTTATTACATTTTCTTCTAAGGCAACTTAGATAAAACTTGCACAAAAAAAGTGTCTCTGTAAGGAACAGCCTTTTGGTGCACATGGTGGTCAGATGTCAAGGTCAGCTAGACATTGGTATCTGGAGCGTTTAGTCTTTTTCAAGGGCACTCACTCTTGGAAATAAGCTCTTTACTTAATAAAAAATATGAATAATCATGATGCTGCATTGTCATTCCTTCTCTGTGTGTCTCTGTCTGCAGGGTCTGACTCATCTCCATCAGCACAAGGTCATCCACAGAGACATCAAGGGACAGAACGTCCTGCTGACGGAGAACGCAGAGGTCAAACTAGGTCAGTCTGTCATCTAACCCCGCATCACAAAACGCCTTTTGGATTGGGAGGGCAGGAGGAGGTATACAGTTTCAGATGTGTGTGTGTGTGTGTTTGTGTGTGTGGCTTCTTCTTTTATGCTGAATACCAGCAGAGTCATCTCTCTGTAGCTCGGCCACTGCTCTGGTGCAGATTGCTGAAGAAGGGACTATCTCTCTTTCCTCTCTATCACTCTCTCCCTAAGACCCAGTGGGCAGGGGATTATAAACTATGTGTGTGTGTTTGTAAATGGGGCGAGTTATTGCAGGTTAAGCTATTCGTTTCTGTTTAGAGTCCATTAAGGAATGTAGTAAAGCCCTTTGGAATCGGCCCACACACACTCTCAAAGACACACACTGAGAAAAACAACGATTAAAGTCAGCTGTCTTGACTTGTTGCCTTTGTGTGTGTGTTTTTCTCTGTAGTGGACTTTGGAGTTTCAGCCCAGTTGGACCGAACAGTGGGACGGAGGAACACGTTCATCGGGACGCCATATTGGATGGCACCTGAGGTCATCGCCTGTGACGAGAACCCTGAGGCCACGTACGACTTCAAGGTGCCTAAACAACCTCCTTTCCACATCTGTGTGTTGAGCCCTTTTTGTGTAACCCTGAGTATTTATGCACTGTGTCTCTGCCATTACAGAGTGATTTATGGTCACTGGGAATCACAGCAATAGAGATGGCTGAAGGAGCACCACGTATGTACACAGTCTAAAACACACATCTCCACCACACATCATCTCTTAGTGCTTCTACAGTAGATCATTACAAAGTCTTTTTATTTTAAGTCTAGGACAGTGCAACTAATTCTTAGCCAGTTTTTTGTAATGAAGGCCAAAGAGCAGATCTAAAATTGGTTGTGAAATTGCTTCTTCTTTTTCTTTTCCCTTCTTTCATTACCTTATTCCTAGCAGACATGCACATTATCAGGATGTTCAGTAGAAAAGCTGCTTCTGGACATACTTTAGATTTGTCAAGGTTGTTCAGTTCTAGCAGTCTAGGACAGATCAATCCTGCATAAAGGAAGAAGACCTCGAACTGGATATGAATATTTCAATATGTGCTTCACAAGTTGAACATATACTGTATAGGTGAAGACCCAATTTACAAATTTACAACAAAATCATATTTGTTAGGATGTTAAAAAAAGTCTGAAACTCATAGGACGTACTAAAATCCGTTAAATAAAATGATGCAAAAAGACTTCTATCATTTTTCAGCTGAAACCTGGCCATGTTTGACAATGCGAAGTTTGAATATGTAAATGTGAAACTGCCTTTTTGTGAGATAGATAACAACCTAGGTGTTCCATGTGTTCAGAAAGTTGAGACTTAAGTGTGTGTCAGTATATCTAATAGATTGTTATCAGTATTGACAGCCTATATTGATCAGATGAGGACAAACTCCAGCTGGCTTTGATTAAATGCCATGATGATAGGTGAGAAACATCCACCCAAATTCACCCATGTTTGGTATTTCAATCTTTAGCGCTGTGTGACATGCACCCAATGAGAGCCCTCTTCCTCATCCCGCGAAACCCCGCCCCCAGACTCAAGTCAAAGAAGTGGTGAGTGTGAATCTTACAACCCCATTAAAAGCAGTTCAGTCATAAACTTGGTTACAGTGGACCATTCATTTCTCTTAAATGTGGTTTCAGGTCTAAGAAGTTCCAGTCGTTCATAGAGAGCTGTCTGGTGAAGAGCCACGGCCAGAGGCCCAGCACGGAGCAGCTCCTCAAACACCCGTTCATCAGAGAGATGCCCAATGAGAGGCAGATCCGCATCCAGCTGAAGGACCACATCGACCGTACCAAGAAGAAGAGAGGAGAGAGGGGTGAGCAAGAACACACACTCCTATGCATTTAAACACGGATGTACATCTAGATTCACACACAGGTGGAGGAGGTGGAGGGATTCATTAAGTAAAAAAAACATGGTAGCTTGCAGGTGTTAAAGGTCACCTATTATGCAAAATCCACTTCTTCATGTCTCTTCTACATCAACATGTGTCCCCTCTTCTTCATGTCTCTTCTACATCAACATGTGTCCCCTCTTCTTCATGTCTCTTCTACATCAACATGTGTCCCCTCTTCTTCATGTCTCTTCTACATCAACACGTGTCCCCTCTTCTTCATGTCTCTTCTACATCAACACGTGTCCCCTCTTCTTCATGTCTCTTCTACATCAACATGTGTCCCCTCTTCTTCATGTCTCTTCTACATCAACACGTGTCCCCTCTTCTTCATGTCTCTTCTACATCAACATGTGTCCCCTCTTCTTCATGTCTCTTCTACATCAACATGTGTCCCCTCTTCTTCATGTCTCTTCTACATCAACATGTGTCCCCTCTTCTTCATGTCTCTTCTACATCAACATGTGTCCCCTCTTCTTCATGTCTCTTCTACATCAACATGTGTCCCCTCTTCTTCATGTCTCTTCTACATCAACATGTGTCCCCTCTTCTTCATGTCTCTTCTACATCAACATGTGTCCCCTCTTCTTCATGTCTCTTCTACATCAACACGTGTCCCCTCTTCTTCATGTCTCTTCTACATCAACACGTGTCCCCTCTTCTTCATGTCTCTTCTACATCAACATGTGTCCCCTCTTCTTCATGTCTCTTCTACATCAACACGTGTCCCCTCTTCTTCATGTCTCTTCTACATCAACATGTGTCCCCTCTTCTTCATGTCTCTTCTACATCAACATGTGTCCCCTCTTCTTCATGTCTCTTCTACATCAACATGTGTCCCCTCTTCTTCATGTCTCTTCTACATCAACACGTGTCCCCTCTTCTTCATGTCTCTTCTACATCAACACGTGTCCCCTCTTCTTCATGTCTCTTCTACATCAACATGTGTCCCCTCTTCTTCATGTCTCTTCTACATCAACACGTGTCCCCTCTTCTTCATGTCTCTTCTACATCAACACGTGTCCCCTCTTCTTCATGTCTCTTCTACATCAACATGTGTCCCCTCTGTGAAAAGAGATTCTGAAAGTTTCAGGAAAAAAGATTCTCTCTCTTTTTGTCCTGATCCATTTATATAAAAACCTGTCTGAAAATGAGCTGATCAGATTTTGGCCACTTTATGATGTCATAACGATTTTTTGGCTTGTGTAACCATAAGCCAATCACCAACCAAGGTAACCCCCCCCCCCCACACCCACACCTTATCACCTGGATCTCCTCCTAGAGCACCATTGTGTTCTTTGTAACCAAATATCTCTCAGAGGGGCGTGGGGAGGGGCTCCTTATTTTCATCTAAAGTAACAGACAGAGAATCAGCACTTATGAAACAGGGCTGAAACAGAGGGGATTATGGGTAATGCTGCAATGATCTGTTTGGTGTTTGGAGCCAAACACTTCAGAGACATGTTTTGTATATATCTGAGACCTATAATATATTGATGAAAAACAGTATAATAGGGGACCTTTAAGTAAAAAACACATCGTAGCTTGCAGGTGTTAACTGACGTTGAAAATATAGCTTTTATTAAGCAGCACCCCCCCCGGGTATGAAAAGTGAAGGCAATTTGGAAGTGCCTTAATCTTGCATTCTCTATAATATCAAACGGATAAACCCACTGGTAGCCGAAAGAAATTTGGTGATATGAAATCTATGAGAAACTGACTTAAAAATACTTGGATAGTATCAAAAGTAGGGTTTGATGTCATGAAAATGAAGGATTATAACTATAAAGTGCAGCAGTCCAACCAATTATATTCGTTGTTTGGCTGAAGTGCTCTCTCACACTCACACACACGTGCTCAAACCAACACACACAAATGCACATTCGACTCATTGCATTAAAATGAGTGCTGCATGAGCGAGCTGTAATACACTTTCATACAAAGACGCAGATGCACATTCTCCCACACATGTGCAGGACATAAAAGTGACAGACTTCCACTGCACCGCGAAACAAACAAACACACACAGTTTGAATGATAGACTGACAGAGGCACACAAGAACCACATTAACCGCTTCAACAAACAGCACACTGCAGGGCGGACGTCTCCATGATGTATAGAAATGTCTCATCGTTGTAGAGACTGTGGCTTTCTCCAGCTGTCACTAGATACCTCATTCACACCAACGCAACTCCGGTTCAAGCTCCGTGCTAGAGCTTTTCAGGTTCAGAACCGGTTCTTCGGTTTAGCTCCGGCTCTTTTCACACCGCCCAGTGTCCGACTGGTGCTGCGTCATTGAGTCATCGTTTGCGTCATGACGTAACCGTTTGCGTGCCTGCTTCATAAAGCCAAACCGCAAAACCACAGCTCACACCGACAACAACAACAATGGCCGATTGTGTTGAAGCGCTACTCGTTTTGGTTTTGCTCTGTCGAAACGAAATGGAAGAGCAGTAGGTAGCTGGTCTCTTCAGTGGACCACTGCTGCTTGTTAAGTTTCTCCATCGTTGTGTACAAACTGGATAAAACGCGGGCTTGTTGTTGTTGTTCAGGAGTTGATCCCGCCCCTGCCCCCGCCTCGACGTAAGCGTTACGTATGCGGTGCTTTTGCTCTAGCCGGACAACTTTTTGGTGCTTGAAACGAACCGGATTCTGGAGCTAAGAGGCGGCTCCGCTGCGGTGTGAACAGGAAAACCCGGTGCTTTTCAAGCTCCAGCTCCGACCCGGCCCTGAAACACCATTGGTGTGAATGAGGTATCGGAGGACAGGTCTGTGTGGATGTGTCTCAGAAAGAGCGTTATGCTCAAAGCCCCGTTTCACTGAAAGAGCTCCGAGCTTATGTTCTCCACTTCGCTACACACAGTAAAATGACAATTTATACTCTTATTTAAAGCGGCTAAAAGAAAGTGCCTTGAAGGAGGGAGGATCTGGGAAAGCCAGAATCGTGAGCTGTTTAGAAATGAACAAAGGTAGTTGAAGTGAATCATGAAGAGTGGAATGGCTTTTCTGTCTGCTTGTTATTACCTCACTCACTCTGGTTTTATTCTTTCATATGGTTTTTAGTGTTTGACATTTCTTATTCTCTTTCTCCATTAGATGAGACAGAGTACGAGTACAGTGGAAGTGAAGAGGAGGATGAAGAAAGAGAAATGGGTGAACCGAGGTCAGTGTCCTCAAAATACACTTTTTTTCCCCCCCAACACATCTTAAATCTCTTCACTTACTAAAAATACTCGTGCCCTCTCACCGGTCCGTTCGCAGCTCCATCATCAACGTCCCCGGAGAGTCGACCCTGAGGCGGGACTTCCTGCGCCTGCAGCTAGCCAATAAGGAGCGCTCTGAGGCGCAGCGGCGGCAGCAGCTGGAGCAGCAGCAGAACGAGGAGCACAAGCGCTTACTGCTGGCGGAGAGACAGAAACGCATCGAGGAGCAGAAGGAGCAGAGGAGGAGGCTGGAGGAGGTACGCTGGAGGAGGACAATTATCATGACCTTGTTGAAAGCTATTTGAAAAACATATGAGTATAAATGTTATTTAGTAGCCCCAGAGATGAGAAACGTACACACATCCTTTACTCAAGTAGAAGTACAGATACTCGTGTTTAAAAACTGACTTTTCTTTACTCAAGTAAAAGTAACGAAGTATGGGCTTTGAAATGTACTTCAGTAAAAAGTACCCATAACTAGCAGCTGTTTTAAAGAGTACCTGACCTCCCTTTATATTAATAGAACAATAATGTCATTGTTCGCTAATGAATGTTTCCATGCTGAACAACGGCAACATGACAACGTTTTCATTGGTCCCTCTTCTTTAGAGAAGACCAGGAAATGATGGATACACGGATCGTGTTCAAATCAATAGGCACGCAATGACTCTAAATAATAATGATCACGCCACCAAACACACATTCAAACGAACCTGTTTTGAAAATGTAAGAAGTAAAAGTACAGGAATTTTAAAGGTAAAACGTTGTCAGAAAAATAAGTAGTGGAGTAAAGTACTGATACCAGAAAAATGTACTTAAGTACAGTAACGAAGTATTTGTACTCCACTACTTCCCACATCTGAGTAGCCAACATTTACATTTTCCCACCAAAAGCCAGTAGTAAGCCCTCCATGCTGTCCTGGTTACAACACTTTAAAGCCTATTTGCAAACATAATTTGTCACATTCTGGCAGTTTACCTAACAAAACATTTTATTCACCATTTGGGTCGAGGCTTCAGTATAAAATGTGAGCGTTCCAGAGACAGACTGGCACACACAGCCTGTCCCCAGTGTCCCTCTCTCAGTTCCAGAGAGCAGGCTTATAGAAGAAAATCCTCCAGCCCATAATCTGTGCGCTCTCTCTGGGTTCCCACCAGGACTTGCTTCCCAGCGCACTGCAAAGCAGCATGACTCAACTTGAATAACATGACCCCCCCGCTTACGGCCAAGTGTGCGTCTCTGTGTGTGGGAAAATACATGTGTGTTTGAGCAGGGGTGGATGGTTGTGTGTTTGTATCCTGTTTGAATTACCTCTCCTTCTTTTATTTAAAGGGGACCTATCATGCAAAATGCACTTTTTGATGTCTTTTATACATAAATACGTGTCCCCGGTGTGTCAGGGAACTCACAAAGTGTCAGAAAACAAAACCCTCTCTCTTTTCCTCCGTACCCAAATCTCTAAAAACGGGGGTACAACAGAGCTGATCCAGATTTGCGTAAATTACGTCATATTGGAAATGTGGACCCACGGCACTATCAGAAACGTCGCTATCAGAAACAATGCCCGACGCGTTTTTGACGTAATATGGTCTTTGTTTACATTAGCAAGCCTCGCTAACACTCAGAGCTAACCTGTACTGGAGAGAGTATGTGTAAGAAAGCAGGAAATAAAAAAAGGAACTCACCTTGTGGTAAACCCGCAAGAGAAAAAGCATTTGAGCTCCATACTGTTTCAGAAATAATTCTTGATGTGGTTTGGAACATGATGGCATTTAATCACGGCAACATTTAACTGTATCTGCCGGGTGATTCTGAGCAGGCATTAGCTCCCTTATTATCCTTTATTCAAGCTAAGGACCCAGAATCAGAAGTTCTCTAACAGGCCTGAAACAGAGGGATATGAGGGATGTCTAAAATGCATGATCTGTTTGGTATTTTGAGCAAAACACATCATAGACCATTTTTATATATTTGTATATATCTGAGACCCATAATATATGCCTAAAAATAGCATGATCGGAGACCTTTAAAGATTCTAAGCCAAGACACAATGAAGAAAGGAAATAAATGTATTTAAAGCAAAAGGAATTATGATGAAATTAGTTTACATATCAAAAAGCAGCGTGTGTGGAGACATGTTACTTATTTTATTTGTGTGAAAACAATGTGTTCTCCTGCTCTCCTCACAGCAGCAGCAGCGAGAGCGTGAGGTGAGGAAACAGCATGAGAGGGAGCAGAGGAGACGCTACGAGGAAATGGAGCAGCTCCGCAGAGAGGAGGAGAGGAGGCATGCAGAAAGAGAACAGGTTCATACACTTACTGTACTATTGTATTAAAACAAACTTCTTGTATGAATACAGACAGTATGGTGCCACAGGAAAGTGTAATATGATGACAACTCAACTCCAGAATCCCTCATTTGCCCCAAAACGTTCTGTTTCTTTTTATGGCAACATCTCCCTCCGTCCCTGTGAGTCACTCTGATTTGACTTGTCTCCTTAAATTACCTCAGTGGTGTATTTTTGTTCTTTGCAGGATTTTCAGTTTCAGATACACAACTCGTACACTTTTAAGCTGATTACGCATGCTTTGTTTTTCTGTGCATAATCTCCTACCCTCTTGTTGTTACGGCCCGTCCACACAGCAGCGTTAAAAAAGTCTTCCAACGCTTCTGAATGGGGTGACGTCACTTTGCCTCACTTTTCGCCGAACTGCATTGTGGGAAGCAAAGCGGAGATTTCCAGGCATCTCAGGCTTCAAAAGTTGAGCAATGTTCAACTTTTGAAGCTGAGGTGGAAGCGTCAGCCAATCAAATCCCATTTATGCAAATCTGACAGTACAAGCGTTAGCCAATCAAACCGCGTGCATGCTGGGAGAGACATACCGCAGGTCATTTCCTCATATTCCAAAAAATGGAGGAGAAATTAATTATAGCTGTAGGGAATCACCCGGTGCTTTATGACCAGTCCCTATTTACCTACTGGGATACAAACCGGAGGAGCCAGGCATGGAGGGAGGTGGCAGAGACAGTGGTAGGTTTTCGCCTGTTTGGGGAGTTTATATCCAGTTTACTTCGGGCTTTTTTGCTTTGTATGTCGGGGGCGGGAGATTCATGTGATTGGTTGTTGGTCGCGTTGCTCGCAAAAAATCCCCAAGCTTCAGATACGCCCACCTCCAAGATTTTTTTACCGCTGCTGTGTGGACGTACCGTTAGGCCTCTCTTTTCTCCTCAATCGTAAATGCAAAATATTATTTTCTTCTTTCTCTTCGGTTTTGCCCATCATATGTTCTTTAGATTTCTGTCTAAGTCAGTCAAACTTTATTGAAACATCTTAAATGGATCTCCTTTTTCTCAATTGGGATGAAGGAAATAATAGCTTCAAATTATTACTTTTAGAAAAAGTTGTTGTTCTTTAGTGTAAGCAGTAGGGATGCCAGCGATTATTCGATTTTTCGAATATTCGTTACAGTCTCCATAATCGAAAATTATTTTTAAAATTCGATTTTATTTATATATTTTTTTATTATTATTTATATTTTTCTTTTTTTTTCCTGGCTTAGTTTAAACCAAAATATAGACTAATGCTAATAATAGTAATAGTATTAATAATTGTAAATGGCCATTGGTCACACCACCAGTTTGTTTTACTGTAAACTTGGAGGAAGCCAGCAGTGCAGGCAGCGCAGAGTGCAGACTGCTGCAGCCTGCTACACACCGACCCCGCCCCCCCCCCCCCCCCCCCCCCCCCCCCCCCCCCTCTCCGTCACACGTGCGATTGATTTATTGGCGATATACAGAACAGTGAGAACATACTTTTTTTTTTCTCTCCCGCGGGGGGGGGCGGCGGCGAATAATCGATTAATATTCGCCAGGGCTGTCCGATTTTCGAATTTGATCATGGTCAGTTTCTGGCATCCCTAGTAAGCAGTTCCTTGAGGATGAAAATCAAGACGTGCCCTGTCAACATTATAACACAAGTGTGATCTGCCACAGTTTAGAGTGCCAGGGTGTATGACAGTGTTGATGGGTCAACTAAAAAGATCATATATATATTTTGAATAAACACAGAACCTCGACTACAGCTTGTAAATTATCATTCAGTTTTAAAACCTTTTTCGAAAAATTCCTAAAGGATTTTTTAATAATTTCTCAGAGCTTGGATCCTTTTTGACAAAGTATTTTTTCTGAAAAACAAAATGATCAGAATGGAAAATAACCACATATCTACATTTATTAGGTTTTGTCATGGGCCCTGTATCTTTCTCCTTTTGATTCTGTCTGTATTAAGATTTGTGTGTGTCTTCCTCAGAACATCTTTTAACAATCATTTCCCCTTGACCTGCTGTTCTGATGTGTATTATTTGTCTGTCCTGGTCCCTTTTTATCGCTCTGTTTCTCTCCTCCTAAGATTACGTGTTTTGAGAGATGTATTTAAACCCCTCTTTTCTCTCTTGTCTCCTTATCATGTTTTCTTTGTAACACATTACAATTGTTGGAGAACGCATCCTCCTTAGCTTCATCTGGTTCCTGACTGATCTTCTCTCCTCATTCACTGCCACCTCAGGAGATTATCCTCTCTATATCGCTTTCTATCTCTGTCTTTCTTACTCTGTCTGTGTTTCGACGTTCAGATTTCCTGATTTTTCTCTCGGTCTATTTCTATCTCCTTGTGCCGACACGCTGCTCAGGAGTATATCCGTAGACAGCTGGAAGAGGAACAGAGGCAGTTAGAGATTCTCCAGCAGCAGCTACTACAGGAACAGGCATTACTGATGGTAACCATAGCCCTCCCACGTGCTTCTGCTGCCCCCCCATCTGTGCTGTGTGTGGCCCCCTACCCCCACTGCATGCACCTGAGTGACAGTTTCACAGAGGAACTGACTCAAGGAATCCACAGTCTGAGACACTCAACATGTCTGCTACCTATTTGAAAAACATGGAACATAAACAATGCATTTCTTATCTCCAGTGCTTGTTATTCAGATCACTCATTGCATGAAGTATACCATTTAGTTGGCTGGATCTCAAAGGATTTCCCAAAGGGTGCAGAAAAACTGTTTTGTCAGCCTCAATCAGTTGGGCCCACGCAAAGTGAGAACATCCAAGGGGAAATAAGACGGATATATTTCCCACAGAGGGGTTTCTCAGTGCCAATCTTATCTATGTCTGTGTTTTATTAGTGCGAGGAATCCACAGTAGGTATTGTATGATGTGTCCACTGCCCCTTACATCTTATTTGAGGAGAAATACAGTAAAGGATGAAACCTTTTGAGATCCAATCCATGTCAACCCCAGAGACCACAGTAATGACTTCACGCACCAAAACCCAGAGATGTGTTGCTGCCCAAAAATAGCATCTTCCCATTCCCTCTCAACTTCCTTCCTACCTCCATGTCTCCTTCCCTCTCAGTACCTTCCTTCCTTCCTTCCTTCCACTCCCGAAGCCCAAGTCCTTTCTTCCCCTCGTCCCGTTCATCTACATCAGGCTGAAGATGGTGGTTATAATTGTGAATCTGTTACATTCACATGATTCAAGTTGTCAGTATTTGTGTTCATCAGTTCTGTTTTGCAATATTTGAAAATGCATTGATCAAATTTGATGTAAGAAACAGGCTTGTTTATCAAAGAGCATTTGCAAACGCACAAAACAGAACAATTGAGATACATTTACTGCAAATGACAGCTTACTATTTCGTAATTAAAATAAGTACCAAACACTTTTTGAAACTACTTATTTTTGTACTACTTAAAAATTGCATGGATAAGAAATTGTGCAACAATTCCTCGCTTGATTTGGTGCTGATCTGTGTCTCACTACCTTCTCATCATCATCATGTCCTCGTCTCACGGTCCTCCGTTCTCCTCCAAAATCCATCTACGTTTCGTTCTGTTTTCCTTTGCCCGTCTCTCATCTCTGTCCTTCCTCCCCCCCCCCCCCATTCTCCCTGTCTCCCTGCAGGAGTACAAGCGTAAGCAGGTGGAGGAGCAGCGCCAGGCAGAGCGGCTCCAGCGGCAGCTCCAGCAGGAGAGAGCCTACCTGGTGTCTCTGCAGCAGCAGCAGCAGCAGGAGGGACGGCAGGCCGAGAAGAAGCCGCTTTACCACTACAAAGACATCAGCAACCCCACCGACAAGCCTGCCTGGGCTAAGGAGGTAAGTCACAACATGCATGGTGTACAAAGACATGCATGCAGTTACATATGGGAGTTATCTTCCAAAATCATCCCTTTTCTACACTGAACAAAACTGAAATGTTGACTTTAATTAAATGCATTATGTTGACAAACTGTATTAGGTTAGTTGAAAGCAATAATATGCAGTTGAAATACAAAATGTTAGGTTGAACTTAATATTATTGCTTTCAACTAACCTAATACAGTTGTGTGAAATTGGTTGACATAATATATTTAATTAAAGTCAACAGTTCAGTTTTTTCAGTGTAGAAGGGACAAGTACCAGATCTTAATAAATATCTGCATGTGTTGGTGATGATCCCAGTAATCCCCCTATTTTATATAAAAACACCCAGTGGCCTTTTTGTGTTGTTAATATCTAATTCAGCAGGTCCTACTAGAAGCAGCAGCCTCCGTGGGAGACATCGCTTCATGAGTCTGAAGATATTTAAGAAGTGCTTTTATTCCCCATGTGAAGTCTCCTCTGTGTTTGTGTTGTGGCTTACCTTCCTCTGACTCTGACCCCCAGGTCCTGACGCAGCAGCAGCATGTTCAGGGTCACCTACCCCACTCCCAACTACGACAGCACCAGTCATTCAACCAACCGGCTTCATCCCCTGACTCTTGGCGCCAAAACAGAGCTCAGGCCCCTAGACGAACCCCGTCCCATGGTGCCCAGCCCCTCTCCTCCCATCCCCCCCATATCCATATCTCACTAGATGGAGAACCCCTAGATCCGGGGCTCAAGCAGGAGATAAGTCAGCAGGTCAGAGAGTTTAGGGCTCAGAAGCTCAGGGGCCGCAGCCCGGGGCGCAGCCGGGAGCAGAGCCAGGGTCCTGGCCAAGGGCCCAGTAAGGGACCTGGTAATAATCAAAGAGAGCTTTCCAGTCACGGGCCAGTCAGCCAGTCTAACCAAGTGCTCAACCCTTATGCTCTGGTGCCTAACAATCAGAATGAGAGGCCCAGAGACAGGCCTCTCTCTGCCCCCAATCATACAGACATCCAGGGGCTAATGCCGGACCCTAGGATCCCTCATCCTCAGTCCCCACCACACGTCCAGAGTCCCCAGTCTGGATCTATGTCTGCTCTCAAAGTGGTTAGTAGACATCCGCGCAGCAAGTCACACTCACCTTGCTGTAGAATAGATGTAGATATAGAATCAGAGTCTCAGGGAAGGTGGCTAAAAGAGAGTAGGCTAGCTCGCTGCCACACGAACCTCCTAGTGCCCCCGGACTGGGAGGTCTCACATGGCCAAACTGACCGCCTCTCTTGCTCCTTCCCTGACAACGCTCTCCAATCCGCCGTACAAAGGTGCAGGAATTCCTACTCACCTGCCTCCAATAGTCTTCTTCAAGTGCCTGGTGACAATCACTTACTTTCCCCTCCTTTGTATAGTGACAGAGAGGGAGGGAATAGGAGGCAGGGAGTAAGACCTTGCTCCTCCATGTCTGACCTTAACGTTTCTGCCCCAGCAGGCGTAATGAGACAGAACTTTTCTGAGATCAGACATATGGGTGTTCGCTCCGCTGAAGAGCTAACCTCTCCCACCGTTCCCGATTTGTGGCTGGGCCCCTCACCTCGCACCTCTCCACAAATCTCCCCCTCTTCCTCAGGCTCGTGGTCCGCCGGTACCTTTTCCCCTCAATTCTCCTGTGACACGCTTGTGTTCAACAATCCCCACACACCTTCTCCAACCTACAATGACCACCTCCTCATGCCCGACCAGAACTTCCATTTCTCCCTCTCAGCAACGTCTACCCCTCGCTGCTCCCCGTATGGCTCTCCCATTGGATCCCAGAACCAGATCCATCAGATCCATTGAGTGCTCGACCCTTGTCCAAAGCACACATGTATAGATACACACAAACACACACACACAAACACACACATACACACACACACATGTTTGTACTTCTATATTTGTGACTGAAATGAGGCCCAAATCTAGTTTCTAGTTTTCGTAACTTGTGTTAAGTACTGGTTGATACAACATGAAAGGGTTGATGCACATTTAGGTTGTGTCAGCTGATCTTTGGTGAACTCAAAATATACTTAAATCAACAAAAGCAATAATTGCAACTATTCCCAATTAAATATTTAAACATAAACTGTAGTGTAAACAAATTTGCTTGCCAAAAAATCGACTTCCTTGTCCCAAATGTAACCCTCAAATATATTCCTACATTTCAGAATATATCTCCACTAACAAAGTCATATAAGTCATCACAAAGATGCAAACACACATATGCATAATGTAAATACATACAAACACACAACATTACTGTTAAACATTTATCTCGACAATTTACATGTATTTTATAATAAATCTTGTACATTTTTTAATTACTGAAAATATTATCTTCTGGGACTGAGATCCATTGCGGAGTTGCTTATATCAGGGACAGTTTATCACCCTGTACCATAGGTAGCTTAGTTACCCAAGCCCCCCCCCTCCCCCTACACCCTTATAACCTGCTACCCCAAAAAGCACCATGGCCAACCCGCTCCATATTCTTGTTGATGTCATCGGGGGAAACCCACCCATCCAAACTTCTTTTTAGGTCAGTCAACCGGTCGATCTAATCCCGGCTTGGTGATGGGTGCTGGCCAATTGGTGGTGGGATCCTTCTAACAACCCTGGATCCTCAGAGGATGTCCTCCATCTGCTCTCCTTACTAATCTTTTTCTTTGTTCTTTCTTAGTTTTGATGCGACAGTGACCTCTATTAACATCCCCTAATGCTCTGTTTTAACCTCTTAGAAACCTTGCCATGGAAGAAAGAGCTTTTGGGTGGTAGGCTTAAGAGGAACCTCAAAAACGTGCCAGCACCACCCAAAAGGTTTTTCTTCCGGCAAGAGATCTTCTAGTAGCAAATCTTTTGAAGGTCAGTTGATGTTTATGCTAACATTGATCGCCTCCACAGCTTAAACCCGACCTGGATCACAGCAGTGCTTCTCCTCACTCACCAAATATTTCTTTTTCATTGGTTCTGTGTACTGAGCTGCTGTTTATCTACACTTCTTTCCTTCACCAGTAGTTGGCGTTCATCCCGAGTGAACAACTAACAACGTTTTTGAGATGATTTCTGACACCGAATACCATAGTTGCCTCACTGTAGTTGACTCGCTAGCAGGCAACTAACAAATATTTGACGAATGACACAATATTGCATAGTTGTTCTGACCTGGGTCATAATCTTGAATAATCCTACAAGATTATGGACTCGTGTGGAATTACAGAAAGCCTCCAAAGGGGATAGTTCTCATTGCATACGGAAGTTTAACTGGGGGCTATTGACTCTATGCCATGCTGAGCCACGACTCAACCGTCCACCAGCCGTTGAGTAGACTATGTTCAGAGAAGAAAAGTGTGATTTTTATCAGCCGGGAGCATTCCTCAGAGCCTTCTCTCACTGCACACCAGATAATCTGATAATCTGATTACACTGGCAACGGGAGCTTTCTGTCGTCCTCACTCACAGATATTTGGTGCTTGTTTGCATTGAAGCTCTGTGAAAAAAGTCACTGAAGCTCTTATGAACATAAAAATCAAACATGGTTTCATAGCTCCGCATGTACTCAAAACTATGATTTTTTTGTTTAAATGCGGTGTCTGCTTAAAAAGCTTTGGGATAATTCGGTACCTTTGCATACAGCAATCAGACACTCCTCAACTCAAGTCTGTGGGACATGTAGAAACGCAAACATAACAATTTAATGGCGGTTACATCGAATACAATCTTACCAGAGAATCTGTTGGATGATAAACAACCAAAACATTGCATGTAATGTTGGTGCCAACAACCTGCCAGACTTAAGACATTTGACAGTTTCCTTGGAAGTCTGGATTTGCTCCAAGTGTGTAATGATGCATAGTGAGGGCGTAAAAATAAAATATTTTAAATAAGTGGCAGTTGACAACAAAAACAGAGGTGTCCCACAGTGTGATGTTTAGATGTCTGTTTGGTTTGTAACCATGCATGGGGATGGGGGCAAATACCGACGGTGGTGATTGGTTGTTACCGTGTTCTTGGCTGTGAGTGACAGTGGTATGTGACCCGTCCCAGGTGGAGGAGCGATCTAAGCTGAACAGGCAGAGCTCCCCAGCGCTGCAGCCCAAAGTGGCCAACCGCATCTCCGACCCCTCCCTCCCTCCCCGCTCCGAGTCCTTCAGCAGCGGGGGCATGCAGCCCGCCCGCACCCCACCCATCCCCCGCTCCATTGAACCACAGGTGTGTGTGTACACGTGCATAAGCGTGCGAATGCTCGGTGTGTCATAAATAATCACAAATCTTTTCACTCCTTGTTAACATTTAAAGGTCCAAGCCTCCTTATAAATCTTTCACCACTCCCTCCTTTCTGACTTTCGTTTTTGTTCTATTTTTATTAATCTCATTTTATTTTCTACCATTTATGCCGTAACATTTTATTTTTTCACCTTTTCTCCCATCTGACACAATCCCTTCATGCCTCCTTCTGTCTTTCTCATCTTACAGATGGCCCACCTGGTCCCAGTGAAGACCCACTCCGGGTCCATGTCCGGTTCTCAGTCTCTGCAGGATCAGACGGGCTCAGCTCTGAGTGAAGGGGTCAGCGTGTCTGGCTCCCCCAGGCCCGAGATGCCCCGCCAGAACTCGGACCCCACCTCTGACACCCCGGGACCCCCGCAGCGCATCGCAGGCCGGGAGGACCGGGACAGAGACCGGGACAGGGATCGGGACAGGACCGCCTGGCTGAGAGAGGAGGACATGCCACCCAAGGTCAGAGAATCACATTCAGAAAGAAGACACTATTTCTGTGTTAAAGGTCACCTATTATGCACAATCCACCTTTTGAAGTCTTTTCTACATCAACATGTGTCCCCTCTTCTTCATGTCTCTTCTACATCAACATTTGTCCCCTCTGTGGAAAGACATTCTGAACGTTTCAGGAAAAAAGATTCTCTCTCTTTTTGTCCTGATCCATTTATATAAAAACCTGTCTGAAAATGAGCTGATCAGATTTTGGCCACTTTATGATGTCATAACGATTTTTTGGCTTGAGTAACCATTAGCCAATCAGCAACCAAGGTAACCCCCCCCCTCCCCCCCCCCCCCCCCCCCACCTTATCACCTGAATCTCCTCCTAGAGCACCATTGTGTTCTTTTTAACCAAATATCTCTCAGAGGGGCGTGGGGAGGGGCTCCTTATTTTCATCTAAAGTAACAGACAGAGAATCAGCTCTTTTGAAACCGGGCTGAAACAGAGGGGATTATGGGATGCTGCAATGATCTGTTTGGTGTTTGGAGACAAACACTTCAGAGACATGTTTTGTATATATCTGAGACCTATAATATATTGATGAAAAACAGTATAATAGGGGACCTTTAATATTATTATATTAGTCTGTTTATGGATTTATTTTAGTTTAAGCAAAAGCATCAAGAAAAGCACAAACTTCATCCTGCAAGTAATATTTTCTTACATTTGGATTATTCCTTATTCGTTTGGTTAGGTTTCAGTTACCTCATTAAGTGAGGAAACTGAACTGATGTTGCAACCACAGGAAATGGCACAGTTTTGTAAGATTTAACAAGAACATACAAGCATGGGAAAAACAAGGGAAGGGATATGCTTTACATGCAGAGCACAGCCTTTAGTGTAATTAGACTGTGTTGGCATTGTTAACTAGGGCAGGTGTCGATCAACATTACTGCATCTGTTTCACCACATTTATGAATTATGTCAGTAACAAAAAAAGGTCTGGTCACAACCTTTGGACTTCTTGCTAGGCGATTATAAGCCAAGCCGTATCAGCAATAGTGACCTTCTATATATTTGTGTCCAGGTCCCTCAGAGGACCACTTCCATCTCCCCAGCCTTGGTCAGGAAGCACTCCCCCAATGGAGGAGGAGTAGGTCTGGGCCCTCGCACAGGCTCCCAACTCATAAGGGCCAGGTAAAGCTCATATTAGCACATTTTCCACCTGTAAACTAAAATCTGAAGTAACCCTTATAGTCCGCATCATCCTTTAACCTACATGTCAAAACACAGGATGTGCTTTATATAACTTTAATGCTGTATCTGGTCAAAAGATGTGTAATTTCTTTGTGGAAGCTATTCATCATACTGTTTGAATTCAGTTTTTTCACTGTAGGAATTATCTAACGTTTATAAACACACGGTAATGCTACATGGCATGCTATGCTGGATCATAATAAAGAACTGAAATGAGTGAAACGTTTTTTATTTCCTCTTTCAGTAACCCAGACCTGCGGCGCTCAGAGCTCTCTCTGGACGCCATGCTGCAAAGAACATCCTCCAACTCCTCATCGTCTTCCTCCCCTTCATCTCAAGGAGGCTCAGCCGAGAGGAGAGGTACAAAAACTCACACAGACACTCACGATTATACCGTTGTTATGCACCCACACTGACAAGCTTGCACGCAAACAATTAAAAGCCTGTGTGTGTACTTGTTTACATGCAAATGCGAACACAGACACACACTCGCACTCGCAGGGCTTCGGCGAGTTTCAGAGGCTATCAGCGGGACAGTGTCAGCTGCAGTTCTGCTCTGATCAACCTGTCTGATGTGCCCTGTTACTCCCAGCCTCCGGAGAGATAGAAGAGAGGAAATGAGAGAGGCAGATAGAGAGAAGCCTTCACGGATGTGTCAAACAACAGGCCAGAGGGATATCTAAGATATGCATGGATATCCCCTTGACAAACACATGGCAGAGGGAGAGGTTGGAGTATGGAAGCATCAGCTTTCTTTCATGTTTGCTGGATGTTATAATGGGGTTCACAGTAAAAATGGCAGAAATGTAAAAAATTAGACCAGTAGTAATCGGAATAGGGTGAGAAAAATACAAAATAGTTCAGAAAAATGATTTGCGTGACCACACCTTTTCACAATATGAATGAGTAGGTAGGAAAATATGATTAAGTGATATCTCTCATAATTTGAATTAACATGTTTCCAGATTCTGATCAAGCTAATTGATCCACAGTATGTAGGTAAAATGTGTAATTTATTTCCTGCGATGATAGGTCAAGCCAAGCCAGAAGGATCCCCACCGGGAGCCAATCAGGAGGCAAAGCCCAAACAGGAGGAGGGCCGTGAATCAGCCAGACCCAGCAGACCTGCAGTGAGTATCACACACACACACACACACACACACACACACACACACACACACACACACACACACACACACACACACACACACACACACACACACACACACACACACACACACACACTATCTTTCTGTCACAGCAGTCTCCTCCCTGGGAATCTTCTTGAGGCTTCTTCTCCTTTTTTCTACATTCATCTGGTTCTTCTTTTCTCTGCCTCCCTCTCTTTTATTCTTCAGAGCTATAAGAAAGCCATAGATGAGGTTAGTGACACTCGAGTCCCCCTTTCTTTTATCCCAGTATTCCTTTGCCTCGATCTTCAGAGCCCTTCTTTTCCCCCCTTGGCATGGTGGAGTTAGTTGGTTTCACAAGAAGATGACGTTTGTTTCTTTTAAGTAAAAAAATATCAGAGTGTAAAGGCGGCGGCAGTGCATGTGTGCTTCTTCACACATACCTCAGAGAGTGTATGTGGACGCTCGCTTGTGCCAGTTTGAGTGATGCAGTGTTTCCCACAGAATTTGATAATACATGCGAGTTCATGGCTACTGTAGACAACGTTCTTGTTGCTCTGTGTTGCGTTGTTAATGAGTGAGACACACCGGAGTTGAGGATCTGTGGGGTTTATTCTCCCAAAATTATAATTTACAATTTACAATTTAGGCATTTAGCAGACGCCTTATTCCAAAGCGACTGACAATGACCAATTACAGGGACATTCTCCCTGGAGTAACTGAGGGCTAAGTGCCTTACTCAAGGGCACACTAGTAGTGGTGTTCCAGGCGGGATTTGAACTCGCAACCTTCCGATCATCAGCCCACCTCACTATCCATTAGAAAAAAAAGAATAATAATAATAATCTTTTATGAGATCCATTTGTGGCGGACGATATTTAATTGTGGCGGCCCGCCACAAATAAATCATTGTATGGGAAACACTGGTGTATGCATGTGTGTGTTGGGTGTGTGAAAGGGTGTGTGTTACCTGAACTGCCAAGCACCTGATTTCTCTGAATCTGTTTTCCTGTTTTTCCTGATGTCACGGGCACTGATCAGGAGGAGCTGGTAAGCCCGCCGTGTATGACGGTTCTCCCTCCCCCCCCATCTGCATGATTTGGACTGATCCATTGGGCTGGCTTGAATGGGGAGTTACGGGAGGGGAGAAACCACAGGCCAGTTGGCATGGGGTTGATTGATAGCGCGGGGGTGTGGATTAATGCTACAATCCAGTACAACATCAATCCTGATTATCTGTCTCTCTCTCCTCTTATGACCCGTCTTCACATGGTTGATGCTTGTGAGCGAACAAAAGTGCTGATATGTAAACACTTCCTATGTCACAAATGAATGTGTCACTTGGCTAAGCTTTAAGTGTTTCTCAGATAAGCATTGTTTGTTCCTGTTTACAAACCGGGTGTTTGTGTGACAACAAATCAGTGTCCTCTCGTCACCATGCCCCTCTCTGCTGCCCTCGTGCTTGTATATGATTTGGTCTCCTTCTCCTCAGGATCTGTGATACAGAGCTGATGAACTAACTATCTCTTACTCCTCTTGTATTCTGTTCATCTCTACAGGACCTTAGTGCACTGGCTAAGGAGCTCAGAGAACTGAGGGTGGAGGAGGGCAGCAGACCTCCAGTCAAGGTACGACTTATACATGTACAGGTGTGATGGAAGGGTTTTCATCTTTTCATTTTTATTCACCGCATTTTCTTCATTTCTAAACAGTTTTCTGTCTGTACTCCTCGCGTTCTAAAAAAGGTGACGGACTACTCGTCCTCTAGTGACGATTCGGACAGCAGCGATGACGACGGGCAGACAGTGGGGCATGATGGGACGGTTGCTGTTAGCGACATCCCCCGCATCATGTAAGTTGTCCCCTCTGTTTTTGTTTTTCCCTCCCTCTGTTCTCTTTTCCTCCAAGCTCGGCTTGTCAGTATTCATTTGTGTAGAGATAAGCAAGTATTTGGTATATACACCATGCCAGCAGCTTGTCACTACAGTTTTAATAAGTGTGTGTGTGTATGTGTGTGTGTGTGTTGTGTGTTACAGGCCAACAGTGCAGAGCAGCAGTGAGTCGTATGGAGGGCTGACAGAAGACTCTCTGGGAGATGCCTATAATAGCTCCAAGGACAGCACTCTGGTGATGAGAGAGGTGATGAATGATTACACACACACACACACACACACACACAGGCATACACACACAGGGATCTAAAGAGAAGGGGATGAAAATAAACAGAGAAAAACTGTTTTTGTTCATCCAAACGGAGCTGATTTTGCTTCTTCGTCACCACTTTGACTGCTTGAACTTCTTTTAGTCGCCGCTCTCAACGTAATATCTGCTCTTTCCTTTGTTTCTCATATTTTTTTCTCTCCTTTCATTTTGTCTTTAAGGCGGAGGAGAGAAGGAGAGGTGGTCACACTGAGAGCAATGGGTTCGGTAATCACGGTAACCATGGTAACCTCCCTGACCTGGTGCAACAGAGCAACTCTCCCTCAGCCACGCCCACCTCCGCCCTGCAAGAACTGGGAGACATGGCTGAGGTCAGACACACACACACACACACACACACACACACACACACACACACACACACACACACACACACACACACTCATTCATGAATAAAAGATAAACTTCAATTCATATCATTAGTCTTAACATTTATGAATTAAATAATAAAAAGAGTATAACTAACTGTTCGTATTTTATATTTGGAATTGGACAAATCCAGCACTTAAGTCAGATAAATGCCCTTAATTTCACATAAAAACGTTTAAGCAATAAAAGGAGGTATTATGATCTTCAAATAAATGAAAGAAGCCCTGAGTAATGTGTTAATGTAGGCTGCTGCTATATAATGACTTACTGTTTTCTGTCACACAGTTTGGTCTGGGCGGGTCCAAATCGTCCTTCACCCCATTTGTTGATCCACGTGTCTATCAGACCTCCCCAGGTGAAAATGATGATGAAAACTCAACAGAAGGTAAGCACAGCAAAGCAAAGGAAAGCTTAAGCCACATGTTAACATATTCCACAAATCTAATCAGTTAAACCTTTTTTACATTTGTTCAACTTTCTCTTCTTCTGTTTTATCTCAGACATGTTTTCTAGCGAGCTGCTGAAGCAGGAGCAGGCCAGACTAAACGAAGCCAGAAAGATCTCTGTGGTCAACGTCAACCCCACCAACATCAGACCCCACAGTGACACCCCAGAGATCCGCAAATACAAGAAGCGCTTCAACTCCGAGATCCTGTGTGCTGCACTCTGGGGTAGGAGGGGGCATCCTTCAACTTTTATTAAACAAAAAACTTGTCCCAACATCTTCGTGTCTGACTCGTATGTGTGTATGTGTGTGTGTGTGTGTGTGTGTGTGTGTGTTCAGGTGTGAATCTGCTGGTGGGGACAGAGAACGGTCTTATGCTGCTTGACCGAAGTGGACAGGGAAAAGTGTACAACCTCATCACCAGGCGCCGCTTCCTGCAGATGGATGTGCTGGAGGGGCTCAATGTGCTGGTCACCATATCTGGTAGGTCTGACACACACACACACACACACACACACACACACACACACACACACACACACACACACACACACACACACACACACACACACACACACACACACACACACACACACACACACACACACACACACACACACACACACACACACACACACAGTGGATGCACATATGCAAGTGTATCCTCATACACACACCCGAATTCTTCTCCAATGTATCTGAGCGAAGATTGCTCATATCATATCAGATTTGTAATATGCATATACATTTTAGGAAGGTTGTGACGATATGTATGACAAGTATTGGAGTTTGGTTAAGTAGCCTCATTGCATCATATGTGTTTAAGACATTGATGGTTTGTTAATAATTCAATATTGTGAGAATTGTGCTTCTTCCATTCACTCACAACGGCCTGGTAATCTGCCATTGTGTGCAGTTTGCACGCTAATATTTTCCTAATATATTTGAGGTTTTAAGGACTTCATTCCTCTAAAGTTGATCTCATTTCTCTTCCTCATTTTGTCCTCCCCTCTCAGGGAAGAAGAACAAGTTGCGTGTCTACTACCTGTCCTGGCTGAGGAACAGAATACTACACAACGACCCTGAAGTAGAAAAGAAGCAGGGCTGGATTACAGTGGGGGAACTGGAGGGCTGTGTGCATTATAAAGTTGGTAAGGATCTGTGTTACTGTGTGTATATCGTGAATGAATATATAAATAGAATTAGGCATGCTAAGGCTGATTTAAGTCTTACGTGGCCTGAGCTTAAATGTTCTTTAGTATTGAAACAATCCCTAACCAGCTAAGAAATTCTCAAAATGGAAGGAGAATGAGTAAATATTTTATATTCTGCCACAGATGCAGCTACAGAAGTCACACAAATAAGCAAACCAAGTTGTGGCGTTCTTACTGAATGCAGTAAACGTTGGTATACAGTAGCTTTGAAAATAGTTTGTAATTGTTTAACTCCAATATCTCTACAAGTCACTCAGATCTGGAGCCAATTAAATCACGTCTAGCAGCTAAGCTAGTTTGCTTTACAGCCCAAAGATATGGACTTTTTTATTTGTATATCAACTGGAATTAAGTTACGGTTATACCAACCACAGGTCTTTCCATGGCGCTCATATTATTCCCAAAGTAGAAAAGTTCAGCTGTTCATGTTGGCCTCTGATTAACTCTATATGTTGTTTCCAGTCAAATATGAGAGGATTAAGTTCCTGGTGATTGCTCAGAAGAACGCTGTGGAAATCTATGCCTGGGCTCCTAAACCCTACCACAAGTTCATGGCCTTTAAGGTACAACAATGCACATTATACACATGTAGAGAATGCAGAATGAATATATTGCATGACTACAGGCACGGCATCTCACAATTTCCTCTCCTTTTTCTCCCTGCCGCCATTTTAGTCATTCACTGAACTGCAGCACCGTCCCCAGCTGGTCGACCTGACGGTGGAGGAAGGTCAGAGGTTGAAGGTCATCTATGGTTCCAGTGTGGGCTTCCATGTCATCGACGTGGACTCGGGCAACCCTTACGACATCTACATCCCCTCACATGTAAGAACAAGACTGTGCTTATAAATGTCTGTAAATCTTCAATAACACGTTTCTCTCACGTCCAATGAATTTGAATGAAGAACAACACACATGATGTAAGGCAGGGGTGTCAAACTCAATTTTTGCACGGGCCACATTTGCATAAAGGTTGCACTCAAAGGGCCGGTTGTACTATTACATTATTGCCTCTGAATTGGATTATTATCGGATAGGATAATAACTTAGTAATTAACTACGTCTGAAAGCAGAAGTCCAGGGCAAATAATTGCAAGTCTCTTCAGTGCGCATGTCACAAAACGAGATGCATTGTGGGACATGTAGTTTATGGGCAACCTGCTTCTGTAAAGTGGCATGTAACCGTATAATAAACGTATTATATTCTTTGCAAGCTCTTGGCCTTGAGTTTGAGACCCCTGATGTATACGGCAAAGGAGAGCAGGATTTATTTTCTCTCCTTCCTAAAATATGACCTGCTTATCCAAGGTCAGCCATGACTCACACGCTGTCTCATGAAGATTGGCTTCCACATATACAATGTATTTTTCTTGACAAATCACCTCTTTGATTGATCTGCCGTCATGCAAGTAAAAGATTGATGGCTGTTTTTGCTAAATACGGTGCATTTGGCTCCGACGGTACACAGTATGAAGCTGAAATGACTGAATAACTAGAAATGTAGTAAGTGGTAGCTGCTACAACATTTCCTGTTGCAACAAAGTCCTCCAAAGAGCATTCATGTGAAGTAGTGAGCGTGTTCTTTCAGCATACCTCTTCCCTTAGCAGCGTGCAGTCAGATATCAATTCTAGTCGTCACTCAATCACTCATGGGAGCTACATACACCATCAGTAGTTGTCCATGTGCGTGCTTGAATGCAAATCAGTTTTGGTACTTGCATGCAGATTACTTCGTTCCCGGGTTGCTTTACTAATCGTATGCTTTTAACCAAATGAAATCTAAACACAGTTAGGCTACATTTTTTATTTGGTGGCAAGATTTCAGTACATTTACCGCACCAAATACAGATATGAAGACACGCAATTGAAGTCAATTGAGTTCATGCTTTACAGTGATTGCACAACAAGCCTTTTCATTAGAGCATTCCTCTTGAAGTGATTGTCTTTCACAATTGTTGCCTTTCATCTTCCTCTCTCTCTCCTTCCCTGCCAACTTCTCCTTTCTACAGTGTGCCAAACAGATGAAGGTGACATCCTGCCATCCACCCTTTAGACTAGATCAATAGATCTTTAGTAAAAAAAAAAACCGTAGTGGATGCACAGGAGTGCTACATGTGTCTGTGCAGTACAGTTTATTAGAGTAGTGATTAATGGATAATTTAGCTAGAAACAGGTTGCATGAATAAATTCATCTTACCCACAGGAGACTTCACAAGCTAATGAAAAGATGTTAAGTGCTACAAGATAAATGTTTGGTCATGCTGGAACCACAACACAAAATTGAAGTATTAAAAACACAATTCCAAATATTTATTAATAAAATTAGTATTTCTGTAATTACATTTTTAAATGTGTGTGGTGTGCGGTCATATGTTTATCACAAGTTGACAATATTCTAAAAGCTTTTCTTGACACTCATCAGCCAACAAAACCATAGTATGATGTGGTGTGTCGTTCCAATTTGCATTTTGTGTAAATGCAGTTTCTTGTGGGTTTAGAGGAGTTTTTTCATCACCTTGTCAGTCTTTCATTTAACCTTTTGTGAGCCGTCTGTTTGGGTAAAGTGCACAGATTCGAGCCATGTCTGTGTTTGTTATTGATCCCAACTCTTCTGATGTTATTCTTGTTAAAGGTGGGGTATGTCATTTATTTCAGAAACACTTTTTGTTATATTCCATGGCATGCTCTTAACATCCCGATAGCAATGAATATATTAAATGCTTTGACAATAAATACATACAAAAATGTCATCTGTGGAAGCCGTGGCGCTGTAAAAAGCACGACCAATCATCTGAGCCGGCCCGGCTAAAATAACTGGATGGCCTACCTGCCTGTCAGCCTTCCATCTGTGCACAAACTTATCTCGTGCCCTCATTGGTCATGTGCGCGTTCGTGTGTGTTGGAGGAGGGGCTCTGTAAGGAAGTGACAGATTTTTTCCGGTTGTGTATTTTCAAATTCTAGCGCACTCGAGCTGGTTTCTCCAAAATTACATACCCCACCTTTAATAATGCTAACATAAAAATGCTATATTGTGTCGGTCCAAAAAAAAAATCCAAACAGCCTGCCAAATCTGTTGCATTAAATGCCCATCAGGAAACAGCTGTAACATTTTAATCCACTGTAGATTATGATTACATTTGACAGATTATATTAAAGCCTATGAACTGTTTGCTGTGTGTGTCTGCAACAGATCCAGAGCCAGGTGACGCCCCATTCCATCGTGGTGCTCCCAAAGACCGATGGGATGGAGATGCTGCTGTGTTACGAGGACGAAGGCGTCTACGTCAACACCTACGGGCGAATCACCAAGGACGTGGTGCTACAGTGGGGAGAGATGCCCACCTCTGTTGGTACGTCTCACATCATACCATTTTAATGTCTGTTTAGGTGATTCAAATAGATTTCTATCATCACTGGAGTCTTTAAAACATCATAGAGAAACACCCGGTTCGAAGATATAAATAAAAAATGACTTAGAGGCTTAAATAACTTTATTGATGTATGCTAGTACCCACTTCAGTGCCGTGTGTTGAAATGCAGATCAGAAGTATGTGAACAATCTGAGAACTGAGCTTATGCGGGTTTATTTAAGGTTTAATTGCATTCAAAAATCAGTTCATAACATCTGTGTTCACAGGAAGGCTTCAAGAGAAGGAAGAAGAAAGATGCATTGGGGTGGGGGGGGGCAAGGGTAACAAATTCAGAAGGATGGAAAATGGATATAGATTATCAAAAGTAAATGTAAAACGCATAGTCACAAGGGAAAGAAAGAAAGAGGGGGAAACCAAGAGATTAAAAGTCCAACAAAGACATGTGTAACTGCATATCCTTCAGTAGGGAAGTGCTTTACTGCCCTCATGTGGCACACAGTGGTGTAACACTTTAAAGCTACTATGATTTAGGACTGAGTCCAGATTTTACATTATGCTTTTGGATGTTCTAATGGTATTTCTACATCATTTCATTTTGACCTGAATAATAAAGATTTTTTTCACTGATGAGTCTTTTGTGTTTTCTCTTTTCCAGCCTATATCCACTCTAATCAGATTATGGGCTGGGGGGAGAAAGCCATAGAGATCCGCTCTGTGGAGACAGGTCATCTGGACGGAGTCTTTATGCACAAGAGAGCCCAGAGACTCAAATTCCTGTGTGAGCGGAACGACAAGGTGAATAAAACACACTCTTTGATTCTCAGTTATTCTTATCCGGTGATTCTCAGTTATTCTTATCCGGTGTTTTGATTGATCATTGAAACACTGATTGTGAACATGAAGTTGGTTCTTTGAGCCTTTTTAAGATTAAAACGGCTCAAAGAACCAAAAAGAAAGTTTTAGTGCTATGCCAGGTACATTTTCAAGTCCAAATTAGGCAGCAGGTAATATCCATTTCATTTGTATGGGTAGATCCTCGATACAACTCAAGTCTAATAATATATTTTCCTTCGTCTTGATTTGCACTTATGTGTGAGAAATATAGAAACAACACACAGACATGTGCATTGTCAAAAGTCTTTACCATGCGTGGAATATAATCATGTTATGTATCATTTAAAGGTCCCATGTCATGATTTTCCAGTCATTACCCGTCCCCTTGTGTGTTATGTAGGTTTTTCTGCATGTAAACGGTCTGCAAAGTCACAAACCCTCAAAGTACACCCTGTAGCGAGTAAAACTCTAACACAGAAAAGACCTGTCTATGCTGCCCCAGAACGCCTCGTTGGAGATTTCTCTTTTTCTTCCTGGGTACAGTGACGTGCCCATAACCAAATGGACCCATTGGTCCAAATGGACCAATCCGCGGAGCCGTTACGTTAAGTCCGTGGATTGGTCCAAATTGACCAATCCACGGACTTCCTCACATGGAGCTGCAGCTCCGCCGATTTCTCCTCCTTGAGATGGCGGGACGCGGCGAGGCTGTGAGTCGGCGTGTGAGCACACACACAAACTCCCAGCCAGGCTGCGGGTGTGTGTGTGTGTGTGTGTGTGTGTGTGTTCGGTCTGGGTTTCGCTGTGTCTTGCTGTCTTGCAGACGGCCACTGGGCTCATAGGGAGGGGGGGGGGGCAGGAGCTCCAACAAGCCGTGTAGGACAGAGAGTGAATACACATACTATACAGAGATGCTGTATGAGAAACCAATGCAATTTTGGAACATTGCACAATATAAATCTATTTTAGTAGACCTCAACAATGGAATTATGATCAGTAGAAATGGCCATGACATGGGACCTTTAAACATTCATTGTAATCCTGGTAGCATTGTTTTATTACATTCGTGAGCTCGATGCAACATCATTTCAGTCTGCTGCTTGAAGTAGTCAAAACGTGTTTGGTATATTTTGCGTATGTAATGTTAAACAGTCCGAACGAACCACAAAGCAAGCTTTTAATGCTATGTCAGGTAGAAAATGTTCAAGTCCAAATAAGGTAGCAGGTAATATACATTGGTTAGATCCTAGATAGAACTAAGTATTTCCAAATGTGAGCAGATTTGCAAAAGGAAACAAAAACAAATACAGTATACATGCTGTATATTGCTTACCCCCAGTTTGTAAAATCTGACAACTATGTTAGACTTAATTCACAGTAAATTACATAATTTACTTAAAAAAATACCTTTCCAGAGAAGCATATTATTTGCTCTTTGTAGATATGGAAATGCTTATATTAAGAATTATTTTCAGTTTTTAATATGATCTTTCTCTCTGCAGGTATTCTTCGCATCGGTGCGTTCGGGAGGTAGCAGCCAAGTCTTCTTCATGACCCTCAACAGAAACACCATGATGAATTGGTGATGCTCCCCCCCCCCCCCCCCCCCCCCATCCACTCTGCCTCACTCTCCCATTGGCCTGCCCGGCGACTACCAGTTGTCCCACGGCACATCTCACAAAAAAAAAAAAACAGACTGACCGAGAGGCCACAGTGAACTCTTTTAACACTGAAGTGACTAGAATCGCTTAGAGAAAAAAAAAGTAATCGTAGAGAAAAAACAACAGAGACATGTTCTAAATGAAGAGACATGTTACCCTAGATTATTTTGGGTTATGCAGAAGCCATCGTTACTCAACTGACTGGCAAACTGGTGCCACTGACTCTCCAAATATCCTCTGTCTGTGTCTGTAACTCTTCCATGTGTGTCTGTGTCTTTTCTCCAAACAAACCTCTTCATTACAGCAGCTGGAGAAATACACCATCCGTGTCTCCTCTTCCTCCCTTCGTCCCCGCAATCGATTTAGTCCTCACTTTTTGAGTCCTTTTGACACCCATGTCCTTCATTTTCCACACTTCCTATCTGCCATGTGTGGGCTCATTCCTGGAGATCTTACACCTCAGAGGTCGGGGGAATAGATGAATAGGATTTAATATAAATTCAAATATAGTGAATATGACAGTTTGTGCAGTGAGGGCAGCTGAGGGATGACAAATCTACTCTGGATGTTAGCGGTGAAAAGCAGACAGCATGATTGATTTTCTTACTCCTTTGTCACTCCCCTCCGCCTCCTCTTCTTCCTCCTCTCGCCGTCTTTTCAGGCCATGAGTAAACTGAATTGTAATTTAGTGTCCGATCGCATCTCGCTGATAGAGATGCGGTGAGACAATCTGCTGTCATAGGCGGGTGGTCACAGTATGCAAAGATGATGTCCGTGTCCCTTTAAAAAGAAATCACCGGTCCATCCTGTTTTACGATTTCCTTCTTCCTGTCACCCCCCCATCTCCATCAATGTCATCCCCCCCTAGTTTCACAATTTCGTCCTTTAAACTCTGAAGGTGCTGCATCAAAAATACTGTAATATGAAATGAACAATGATAGCGTCATTCTGTTCATTCTTTTTATTTCAGTTCTTTTTCTTTTTCTGTGGCTAAGTCAGTCAGTTTTTGAAGTGTGATCAAATGTATAGCACATCCGTGTTTCTGAAATCAGGAGTGTATGTTGGTGTGTGTTTGTGAGTGCGTGCATAAATGTATGTGTGTGTGTTTGACTTGATGTTGAAACGAGTCCCATTAAAATCAAGGTTGGATATTGACATCAATGGCCAGAAAAAGAGTCATAAATTCAGTCTCTGTACGTGAACCTTTACCTGAAGGCGTTTAAAGCAACATTGAGTGTGTTTACAAGCAGATTTATGATATTATCTTAGTATGACGTTCATGAGGGAGTGTCTGAACACCAAGCATTTAAAGATAGGCACTATTAGTGAGTGTTTTTCTGTTTCCTTTAACACAGTAGTGTTTTGGCTACTCACAAACACAGCCATGCTGCTGTAGGGAATATGAAGATGCTTATCCTGAATACAACCTCATCAGGATATGAGCAACAATCCCCAGTACTGTGTGCATGTGAAAGTTCTAATTGTTGAAAGCTGTGGTGTCCTTTTGAATCATGCTCTTCCCTGATTGGTTCTTCTGATTTTGGCTCCTACCTGTTTGTACAGTGCCTAGCATGATGTAAGCAAAACAAAAAATGGAGGCCAAAAGATTATCGCTTGAGTTATAATTAATAATTGTATTGCCTTTACAGTTCATTTACACTGGGTTTTTGTGTGTTATTGGCTAACCTTAACACGTTACTGATGGTATGTGTCTCTTCTAAAGGAGATGTTAACACATTTAAGACTTAATTTATTCTTTGAAAGGAGTAACTGCATATGGTACGATAAAAACATGTCATTTCTGAATACTAAGTGTAGCTCAATCATTTATGCATACTGTATTAGATTTATAACACTATTGAGGGCCGACTCTATAGAGGTATCCCTCTATATTGGAGAAAAGTACCTGCTTACTCCTTAAAAAACGTAAAGTGACACAAAAATTATACTCATTCCCCAATGATGATCATTTAAATCAAGTTATTTTCTGTTAATAATTTTAAAATGAAGCTATATTTTCAAAGACTTTTACATATCCACACGGTAGCTGTTCCTGTGCAGCTGCAAGTTAGGTTCACCAAACTGTGTTATGGGTAGCAGGCTAACATTTTAGCAATAAAGAGCCGAGCTGAACAAAACCATGTCTTCCCTGTGTGTGTGCACGCATGCATCTGTGTGTATGATTAAAAAGCAAGCGTGAATGGGGCATATTAACTGTGTTTGTCCATCACAGAATTCACTCTTCCCATTGGAAAAGGCTGACTGTCAGTACACTGAGGACTCTCCTTTCAAAGATGAAACCACTGTATTCTTCGTTCTGTGTTATTTCTTGTTTTCTTTGTTTTGAAAGAGCATTACTAATGTCCTGTTTTGGGATTTATTTGTTTTGTAAAAGAGATGCTGTATGAGAGAAATAAATTAAACTAGAGCATTATGTTTACGCAGTTGTATTTTTGTTTGGATGTGTTTTGCAACCGTGTGCTCCTTTTTATCAGCTTCGGCCCTCAGACTTTGTCCATCCCTCAAGTATATCATTAACAGCAGGTCTGTGTGTGTGGGGGAGAGAAAAGAGTGTCCAAATGTCAATATTTCTAGCAAATGTGCTATTTGGCAGTCATTTTGCACTCCATTATCATTTGCAATATACATTATTATTATTATTATTGTCCATCATTTACCAGTATGCAACACCACAAAGCCTGAAACCAGTGTTTTCCAAAAATAGAATCCAGATGGTCTCACTGTTTGGTCACTTTCACTCTAATTGTATTGCTTCCTTGCAATAATAATATGTGTGTTTGTGTATGGAAGATGATTTTTTTGTGTGGGACTTATTTCAGCACTTTAGTGTGTGTATCTATACTGTATGTGTGCACGCATGTGTTGGTCGATTAGAGAGTGGACACAGCGTGCAGCTTTCATTGATCATTACCAGCCTGGCTGACACTCTGGCTGACACTCTGGACCCATCATGGAGACGGGAAAGGTAAGATGATTCTTGGCAAAAGCACTCTTTACATGTATTCCATAAAATGCATATATATTCTTCCTATTCATTTGAAATCATGTAGGCAAAATGTGCGTGCAGGCGGCTGACCTCACCATATAGCTGACATTTGAACCTTGAGGCTCTCAGAGGGTTACATTTACCACCGAGACCTGAGGAAAACAACCAGCTCTTTATTCATAGTTGTGTGTTTGCCTTATCATATAGGAGATTGTAATGAATGAATACTTATGACTCTGCCATGAGAATATCAAAGGAATATATAACACAAGCTTAGTGTTTAATCTGGGCATTATGTAACTTTTATATATGAGAATTATTATGATTCTGAGATTCTGGATAGTAAATAAAGCACGAGATGCATTTATTGATCAAGTATTTTTTTCCTGCACATCAATATGCACTTTTGTTTGTGACCGTTGACTAATGACTCACGCTCTTGCTTGTGTGCATGTTACATAGTGTGTTTGTTCGTGCATTCATGTGTGTGTGTGTTCTTATCTTAATGGTTCCTCTGCTCCTGCAGCAGCTAACAGGTACATTGGCTCTGGCTGTGTTCACTGCAGTTCTTGGGTCCCTGCAGTATGGATACAGTCTTGGAGTTATCAACGCACCCCAGAAGGTAGGCTCCACTGTCACACAGGCTTGCCTCCCTTATGGTAGATGGACTTACCATCTAATTGCATGCAAATCTCGAGGTATGAACAAACTTACTCCACCCTGTGGCCAGTTGCCATAAAATATCATCTATGTAAACACTTTTCTGCAGCACTGGAGATGCATGTCATACTCTCGGAGACCATGGAATAGAAATGATTTACTGATTGTCTAGAAAAGCAACTTATCCCAAAACGTTTTCTTGCCTGGCCATTAGGTATTTGTTTCATCAGAAGTTTTGCAAGCTGTCCAATATTCTTAGGCCAGTAATGAGTAAGTCATAATGTCTCTCTGCTGCACACTGCTGGCACAGCCATCCACAGATGTATGCAACATTTTATTGGGACAGGGGTTATTTGTATTGTGTTTCTGTTTGTGTTTCTTATCATGTTTCATAAGGCAATTTCCTTACATGAAATTATATGGCAATAAAGTACACTTTCTACAGTAACACAGAACGCATAAGCCTAACACGGGCTCTAAGGAGGTCATTTTGCATTCTTACGTTACCTGACGGCCACCTTAGTTCTCCTATACACTTGTTAAACTGCAGTAATGGCAGCTACCGCCTGAATATTGTTGCCCCTTAAGCAGTGTTATAATAAGGATGGCACCTAAAAGAGGCATATTTCCTGAAAGATATCACGGAAGAATGAGCAGAGTGGTCATTAGTTGGCATGCTAGATGCTGCAAAATCCTCCACACTGTCCTTTTAAATATCGTCTCCTTTATTTAAAGTGGACCTATCATGCTATATTTGAATAATATAGTGTAGGACCATACCTATATAAGGCATATTTATACTTTTTTTTTTTCAAAATACCAAACAGATCATGCATTTTAGCCATGCCTCATTTTGCTCAATTTGACATTTTTTAGATCTGTTTTAGCAAGGGTTTATTCTGTGAGCAACAGCACCATCTAGAGGCCTGGCATATGTACTACAGCGTCTCCAGCGCTTTCGAACGGCAATGCCGTGGTTGTTTCCTCCTGATTGATGGAGTTGGCCCAATAGCCGTAGCGCCACTGTCCTGACGTCAAATCTGGATCAGTTTTTATCAGATCCGTTGCAGCCCCTATTTTAGAGATTTGGGTATGGAGGAAAATAGAGAGGGTTGTGATTTCTGACACTTGGTGAGTTCCCTGGAACACCGGGGACACATATTCATGTATAAAAGACGTACAAAAGTGCATTTTGCATGATAGGTCCCCTTTAAATGTAAGGTTGCATAGTGAATGTTGCTACTATGCATATTTATAAATGACATTTTATCAGAATGGTTTTTGTGTTTGCATTTTCATCTGTCTTTGTGCATATTCCAGTGTGATTGTACCTATTGATGTCCCCTAAATATATCCGTGTCATAGGTAATTGAAAATTATTATGGGCGTACTCTGGGGGTGTGGTCAGAGAGGGCCGCGGTCCTCTCAGAAAACAGCACCGAAGAAGAAGAGTACCCAGAGGCGGGACAACACCCTGCCGTGATCATGTATTGGTCACTGTCGGTGGCAATCTTCTCCATCGGAGGCATGTTATCATCCTTCCTGGTGGGATATGTGGGAGACCTGAGAGGGAGGTGAGAAAGGATGAATAAATAATATGGACACACTAAATGAAAAGATGAAAGTGGTGGAGAAAAAAGGTAAAATAATGAATTATAGAGTAATCGGAGGCAAATGTTATCTTGAAAATACTTTTAAAAAGGTTCAAAATGAACCAGCATCATTAGGGAAATGTAATCATAAAAAAAAAATTATAATCTGTCTTTTTGTCTTGCAGGGTAAAGGGCATGTTGATTGTGAATGTACTTGCTGTAGCAGCAGGATTGCTGATGGGTCTTTGCAAGATGTGGAAACCTCACATCCTGGTCATCTCCGGCCGTGCTGTTATGGGCTTTTACTGTGGTACAGCAAATCACTCATACAATCCTCGAATTGATACTCACATCATTAATTTGGATATCCCAATGTCTATAGGTTATATAAAAGGAAATTAACAACTGTTATATTGTCATATATCCAACAGTGAATGTTTGTTTAAAGTCCTCATGATGGGTATCTTTCAGGGTTGACATCCGGGCTAGTGCCTATGTACATTGGAGAGATTGCACCTAAGGCTTACAGAGGGGCTCTGGGGACATTACACCAGCTGGCTATAGTCATTGGCATCCTAGTCAGCCAGGTGAGGTGCACTAACACACAAATAAAACATATGATCAGCACACACGCTTGATGTCTTTGTGAACACATAACCTAAACTGTGTTTGTTTGTGAATGCAGGTATTAGGCTTGGACTTTATACTTGGTAATGATGCTATGTGGCCCCTGATGCTTGGTCTGTCTGGAGCTCCAGCAGTGTTACAATCTTTACTGCTGCCTCTATGCCCTGAGAGTCCAAGGTACCTTTACATCGTACAGGGCAAGGAGCAAGAGGCCCGAAAAAGTAAGAGTTACTCACAGCACCTCTCTACTGTGTGTTATCCTTTTTCTCTCCCTAGTGCTCTCTTATTGAATCACCATATACTCAATAATTCGGAAACAGGATAGCCTATAGGCTTCACAAGATACTTTAAAGCAGTTTGGGAAATATGCTTGCTCACCTTCCTGCACAGTTAGATCAGAAAATCAATAGCTACCACTCCTATATTTGACTTTTGGATACAGCCAGCTGCTAGTTAGCTTAGCTTAGCACTTAGACTGGTATTAGGAGTCAAACAGTGAACCTGGCTTTGTCCAAAGGTAACCGTAACTTAAAGGGGACCTATCATGCAAAATGCACTTTTGTACGTCTTTTATACATGAATATGTGTCCCCGGTGTTCCAGGGAACTCACCAAGAAAACACAACCCTCTCTATTTTCCTCCATACCCAAATCTCTAAAAAAGGGGCTGCAACGGATCTGATAAAAACTGATCCAGATTTGAACACTGTCCTGACGTCAGGACAGTGGCGCTAGAGCTATTGGGCCAACTCCACCAATCAGGAGGAGACAGCCACGGCCATTGCCGTTCGAAAGCGCTGGAGACGCTGTAGTACATATGCCAGGCCTGTAGGTGGTGCTGTTCTCACAGAATCAGCCCTTGCAAAAACAGAGCTAAACAATTTCAAATTGAGCGAAATGAGGCATGGCTAAAATGCATGATCTGTTTGGTATTTTGAAAAAGAAAAAAGGATAAATATGCCTTATATAGGTATGGTCCTACACTATATTATTCAAATATAGCATGATAGGTCCACTTTAAACAAACAGGAAATATTAAGTTACAGTATATACCATTTTTTTTAGAGGTGCAGGTATTTCAATTTGTTACCTTTTAGATAAAGCCAGGCTATCTATTTCCAGTCTTTTAGCTAAGCTAAGCTAACCAGCTAGCTTTATTTTTTATATTTACTGCACAGATATGATATAGCTATAGTTATTTTCAACTAACAAATAAGTGTATATCCCACAATGCTATTCCCTTAAGTACATTTTACTGACACTATTTTCATAATTGTACTTAATTTGAAAGATAAATGTAATGGATGATCCTTTCATATGGTGCTTCTACATTCAGTCGTTTATGCATAGCTCATGTCTCCCTTCACTCTACGTTGTGTTGCAGGTCTGTTACGTCTGAAGGGAGAATATGATCCAACTCCTGATCTGGAAGAGATGAGGAGAGAGAAAGAGGAAGCAGACAAGGAGCCAAGGGTCTCTATCATTTCTTTGGTAAGTGTCTTAGAGGGTCACTTAAAATATAAAGAATTGTCACATCTACCTACATAGTATCTCTTTTGAATTGGACTTTCCTTTAAATAAAAATAGCCGATAAACTCCCCGAGCCACAAAAACGTATTTAACATTTTTACTTTAAAGGGGACCAATCATGCAAAATGCACTTTTGTACGTCTTTTATACATGATATGTGTCCCCGGTGTTCCAGGGAACTCACCAAGTGTCAGAAAACACAACCCTCTCTATTTTCCTCCATACCCAAATCTCTAAAAAAGGGGCTGCAACGGATCTGATAAAAACTGATCCAGATTTGAACACTGTCCTGACGTCAGGACGGTGGCGCTACGGCTATTGGGCCAACTCCACCAATCAGGAGGAGACAGCCACGGCCATTGCTGTTCGAAAGCGCTGGAGACGCTGTAGTACATATGCCAGGCCAGTAGATGGTGCTGTTCTCACTGAATCTGCCCTTGCAGAGCAGAGCTAAAAGAAAAGTGCAAATTGAGCGAAATGAGGCATGGCTAAAATGCATGATCTGTTTGGTATTTTGAAAACAGAAACTTATAAATATGCCTTATATAGGTATGGTCCTACACTATATCATTTAAATATACCATGATAGGTCCACTTTAACTTTCTGCTCTATATTTCATCTTTCCAGATCCTGTCTAAAGTAATTAGTTCTAAATAGTGTCAATCAGATCAGTGGTCAGCTCCCATGTGAAACCAAAAGATTTCTGCAATCACAAAAACATATAAAAAAACATAATTCATGCCTGACAGCAGAAAAATAAAAAAATTATGTTGTTTGAAGTTGCTCTGCTTGTATATGCAGAAGAACAGCGAAAGATAGGACAAGAAATCTACATCTGATCATGACTTGTACAATTATTCTGTGCATACTAGTCGTGCACTTTAAAAAAAAAACGTTTGCAGTAACAATATCTTAGCCTACTGTTCTGTATTCCCTCCCAGATCTGCTCGTCCGTGTACAGACAGCAGCTTGTTGTTGCCCTCATGATGCACCTCTCCCAACAGTTTTCTGGCATCAATGCGGTGAGTGGCAAACTTTTAAATATGTCTAAAAATGTATAGCACGAGTATGAGATAGTATGAGATCTGTGTTGCTCTGTATGAGTGTAAGATATATTACTTTCCACAAACAACCTGCCACTCTTTGTAATAACTGAAAACCTATACTTGTTTTGTCTTCAAGATATTTTATTACTCCACGGCAATCTTCACTCGGGCAGGTGTCGGTCAGCCGGTCTATGCAACCATAGGAGTTGGGGTTATCAACACAATCTTCACTATGGTGTCTGTGAGTAGCTGTATTAACATGTATACTGATGCACAACACATATGCACACACATATGGACATTACAAAATTAACGAGCACTGGTATTCTCCTATTTTTTTCTACACACCCAGACACATCACACATTTACACATGGATTAATACTGTACTTTGTGTTCTAGGTTGCACTGGTGGACAAGGCTGGCAGGCGCACTCTGACTCTGGTGGGTCTGGGAGGGATGTGCTGCTGTGCAATTGGCATGACAGTGGGGCTCAAACTCCAGGTTTGTTTATCAGGTGTCATATCTTTGATCTGTCAGCAACTTGAGCTGAACTTTAAGCCTCTTGTCCCAAGTAGCGATTTTAAGTGCATGGTTTGCATTGTTTTCTATTGTTCCTTACCACCTGCATTGACTCAATGAGTTGTTGTTGTTTTCTTACTGAATGTCCACTTCCTAGTCTTGAGCTTTAAAGGTCACCTACTATGCAAAATCCACTTTTTCATGTCTTTTATACATCAACATGTGTCCCCTCTGTGTAAAGAGATTCTGAAAGTTTCAGGGAAAAAGATTTGCCCACTTTTTGTCCTGATCCATTTATATAAAAACCTGTTTGAATATGAGCTGATCAGATGTTGGCCACTTTATGATGTCATAACGATTTTGGCTTGTGTAACCATTAGCCAATCACCAACCAAGGTCATAATGACATCGAGATTGCATTTATTGCACAACGTACAATGTAAATAACCCAATGTGTTCTGTGAAACTGAAAAGGATATTACATTGTTTTTGTTACTTTCGTTGCAGTTGTATGTCTTAAATGTAATTTAGGTTAACTTCCTGTTTTATTTAGATGCTTTTATTTTGAAGGCAAGTTTACGCTGTTCACAGGAAGTTGTTGTTGCTATGGAAACAACATGACGGAGATAAGTAATATCTTCTAATCTACATATAAAGACGGAGAAAGTAAAGAATAAAGTGTATGTTTAAATGTTAGCACCCCCCGAAGAGGCACAAGCTCTTACGTTGAGTCTGGATACATTCTAAATCATCAATAAAGTCTACGACCATATTTTCGTGTGTGGTTCGGGTGCCATCGTGTAGCCTTCTGTAGGCATCGTACTTGCTTCGGCTGTTGCTTGGCTGTTGACCAACTTCGGGGCCATCTTTGTGCGAAATTCACAATTCCATATTCGTGTGTCCATCTGGTGTCAATTTCGGGACAGTGTGACAGGGGCTTAACCAAATATCTCACAGAGGGGCATGAGGAGTGGCTCCTTATTTTCGTCTAAAGTGAAATCCAGAGAATCAGCACTTTTGAAACCGGGCTGAAAGAGGGGTTTATGGCATGCTACAATGCATGATCTGTTTGGTGTTTGGAGCCAAACACTTCAGAGACATGTTTGTATATATCTGAGACCTATACTACATTGATGAAAAACAGTATAATAGGGGACCTTTAAACTGCATCTCATGGTCTTCATCAGTACATGGAGTTTGGTCAGCTAGCATAACACCTTTACTCACTTCATTGCCATGCGTTGGCTAAAAAATGCAGCAAGATGGAGCAAAATATTCAGTACCTCATCTCTATAAGTAAATAATTTGTCACACTAAATAGGACAATTTAGTTAAAAGAGGCCGAGATAGGACAAAAAACGGTATGTTTGCAAAGAGTTCATTTTATTAAAGCTCACGCACAACAAGTCAAGCAGAGCACAAAATGGACTCAAGAATGCCATGCCAATATGTCCATCTCTTTCTCATGCAGTATGTGATAAGTTCAAGAAATGCCAAAATACAATAACTGATGTACTTTTCCCTCCAGGGTGACTACCCATGGATGAGTTACGTCAGCATGTCGGCTATTTTCCTCTTCGTGAGTTTCTTTGAAATTGGTCCTGGTCCGATTCCATGGTTCATAGTTGCTGAACTGTTCAGTCAGGGACCCCGACCTGCAGCCATCGCTCTGGCTGGCTGCTGCAACTGGACCAGCAACTTCATCATAGGCATGACCTTTCCATATATACAGGTAGGCAGAAAGGAAATACATATGTACTATAAACTCATAAAATCAGACATAGTCTTACACCTGTCTTTTTCGTTTCTCTTTTCAGACTTGGTTGGATTCTTATGTGTTCATCCTGTTTGCTGGGCTGCTTTTCGGCTTCACAGTGTTTATTTATCTCCGGGTCCCCGAGACCAAGGGCAAAAGTTTTGAAGAGATTGCTGCTGTCTTCCAGAAGGGCCGGAAAAAGTTGGAGCAGGGCACCAAAGACGCTCCTGAACTACAGGAGCTCAAAACATCCACAGATGCTTGAGACAACAGCTGTGTATTATTTAGGTATATTTGTGTGTGTGCAAAAGTGTGTCTATCCGTCAGTATTTCAAATGTCAAGTGTTTATCATTGTAGTATTTTAACAGTTGGGTTATTAAGGAGTTAATCACAGAATTACACTTTTTTCTAATATAAATATGAGAGCGTTACAAAAACCAGCAGGGACTTACAATATCACATGTATGACATATGAAGTGGTGTTTACATGTAATGATACTATAGACTTGTACTACTGTACTGGAGTACAATACTATTGTGAAAGTGAAAAGGGATACTTGTATTGTTGAACCCACAGTGATATTGAGACTGACTCTGTGGTCCCCTTAACTGTACTGTGCTGTCACCTGTCCAACCCAGTCCCATTACCAAATGTGACAAAGTAGGCAAAGTCAGCAAACAGCTGGTGAACATGGAGGCGAATTAAGCAGCAAAGAGACAGATATTTCATTCAGACGAAGCTGAAAGGAGCTGAAAGGAAAAATAATATTTGGCTCACATTCATCGACTGGCTAAAAAACAGTAACTCCAGATGTTTGCTAATCTCTGTCTCTGTCTGCTTGATTAGTTAAAAGGCAACTGTTGGAAAAAAAAGTGTAATTTTACCGTAGTGATTGCTGCTCCTTCTGCTGGTTTATCATTCAGATAATGTGACAAGAAATAAACAGTATTTTATTTATTGGCATTACGCTAAAGTAATTAATGATCTATCACTACCTAAAAGGATATTACTTATCTATGGAATTACTTCACCATTTTCTGTCTTGAAATATACATTAAACCTACCTTTGCTCAAATGTGTGTGATGAATTTTTTATATTTTAAAGAGGTTATTACAAATGATTTGGGGCCTGAGGCATAGCACAGCAGAGTGTTTAAATGGATCAGGTCTTGATGGGACCTCTAGAAAAGGTTGTGTTTTATCTGCCCAAGTTATAGTGCACTAGGGATGCCTCATTCTTTTATAGCCATGGCTTTTAGAAGATCCACATATAAGGACCAATCAGGTAGAGCATATTGCAAACAATGTTGCTGCCAGTACATTTAAATGGTGGGAGAAGTACTCAATAATAATAATAATAGATGACATTTGTATAGCGCCTTTCAAAGGACCCAAGGCCGCTTTACATGGTGAACAAACAAACAAGAGGGGCAAATAATAAAGTAAAAATGTAATAAAATAGTAGTGGGAGTAAAGCAGGGGGACTGTGATGGGTTAGGGTACTCAGATCTTGTACTTAAGTAAAGTAGAAGTACCAGAGTGTAGAAATACTCTGGAATGCAGGAAGTAAAAGTCCTGCATTCAAAATGTTACTCAACTAAAAGTACAAAAGTATTAGCATCTAAATATTCTTAAAGTACTAAAAGTAAAAGTAGTCAATGTGCAAATGTGCCCATTTCAGAATAATATATAATATGTTTTAATTATAATTATTGATGCATTAATTTATCAAGGTGCAGCTAATTTTATTAGCCGCATCTTTATTTTTTATTTTACATTTATGCTACAGGATAGCTTGTGAATGTTACTCCAAGTGTAACTAAAGTCTTATTTAAGTGCTGTTTATATTTCACATTATTAATCCAAATGTGCAAAGTAACTTAAGATATTAAATAAATGTAGTGATGTAAAAGTACATTTTTCTCCTCTAAATTATAGTGGGGTAAACATTGAAATACTCAAGTACAGTGCAAGTCTCTCAAAATTGTACTTATCAGAATCAGAATCCCTTTATTAGTCCCACAGAGGGGACATTTACATTGTTTCAGCAGAAAAGAGCTTAATGTTACCTAAGCATGCATAAAAAAGTACTAAAGATAAAAAAAGAAATTATAATAAAAAAGTTACACATTTTACAAAAATATTTTTTTTTTAAAGGGACACATTTTTCAAAAATACACACCCTGTAACTGAATTACATGACTTGAATCAGAAATCCTTTATTAGTCCTACAGTAGGGAAATGTACAGTGTTACAGCAAAAGTGGCATAGCAGGTCAAAAAGGCATTCAATAATAAATAATAAAAAAGTATAAGAACAGAATCATAGCTTAAAATAAATTGTAGCAGCAATGTAGGTAAAACTAAGAGACATGAATTAGCATAGTAAAGTATTGCGACCTCAAAAATAAGATTTGGGACATTTAAGAAAATATATTTTTTGTAAACAAAGTTATTATAGCAGCTTACAATTGCAAACAAGTGTTTATTGCACACAATTTCAATAGTCTGCGTTTTGTGGTGGTTAAAATATTAAAGTTAAGAGTCGAAATTACACAATTAAAAAATATAAAATACACATTCAGCACCAGTAACAGTTGTGAGGTAGCAGCCATGTAAAATGTATTTCTTTAACTAAGAAAAAAATATATATATATATATATATATATATAGCCTAGGCCTATATATGTTAATAATTTAGATTTTTTTTTAGAAGTGGTGGGATTAAATAAGTGTAAATGTGTAATTAAGTAGAATAAATAAAAAATAGTTATAATAACGTTGGAAGTATATGCTCAGTTATTTACAGAATTATTACAGATGTTGTGCATAAAGTGAGTAAATGACGCACTTAGTTATTTTCGACCACTGATTATATGCTTGAAATAACTATAGCTGTTATATTATAGGCATGTAACGTTATACAGAATAGTTCAGTGCGGTATGTTTGGTTCTGTGCAGTCAGCAACTGTCCATGAGGCTTTTGCCCATCCCCCAGCCACGATACGTCGGAAGCGCGGTACCTGCCCTCTGTGCTCCTCCTGCCATACAAAAGCTCTACGCATGCGAAGTGACTTTTTTTCCTCTTTGGTATAAGCAAGGCACGGGGTAAGTAAAACCGCTAGGGCTTATAAGTAACACTTTAACGTAAAGTAACCTATCGTTTTTGCATTGCAGTCATTCATCAACTAATGTATAATATTGGGAAGCATTGAAAGTGAGTCAGGAAAGCGAGACGATGTTTGAAAGAAGTTTGCAACATACCTAAGCTAACGTTAGCAACGCCACAGCTAGCCCGGGTGTGGATCGTGTTAGCAAGCTAATATGGCTAAGGGATGACAGAAAAAACACGAGGTGGGAACCCAAAGCTAGCATCAAGCTACAGTGTCCAGCTGCCACGTACCATAGCAAACTAGATGTTTACTAGCTTTATAAGATAAGCTACCAAACCATTTTATCGGTACTTCACACAACAATGAACAAACAGGGCGGCTAATATGTTGGAGTAGTTATTTGGCTGTGACTCTCGCAGTGTGTTAAAGAAAATATGACATGCTAGTAACATGGCGTGCATCTAGACACATTAGCAATTAGCTTTTAGCTGTTCGAATAACGGTAGTTGGCCAGCGAAATAGTAACTATACATTGGATACTTATTTTTTGTGTAAGTGTGGGACATGAATGGTTGAGCAAAAGCGGAGGGAGTATCGGAGTTAGCTTGAAAAGACACATTTAGCGTCGAGCAAAAGCATTTATCGTTGCAATCTTCCTCTGGTCTTTCGGTTATTGATTTATAAAGCACTTATGGCGCAACCACCTTCCCTTCTAACAGCTGTCGGGTTCCCTAACATGGTCTTGGTTGTAGTCTTAGTTTAATGTTTACACGTACAAATCTGTGCTCACCAGGCACCACATAAGGACACGTGTATTGCTCCTCTTGTATGTGTACTAGCAGTTTTTTAATGCTACACACATCTTTATTAATAATGCTGCTGTCTCAAATACTATATGTTTGTTCTTTTGTTGGATGGCATAGATTTCAACATGGCAGATGAAGATTTCGCTACTGTGAGTTCTGGGGCCTCTGAAACATACCCACAGCAGTGCTCTGCATTGAGGAAGAATGGCTTTGTCATGCTGAAGGGTCATCCCTGTAAGATCGTTGACATGACTACCTCCAAGACTGGCAAGCATGGACATGCCAAGGTAAAACCTCCTCGTGCATCCTCTGGAATGCAACACTTAAGCAATTTTGTGATTTAGCCTACATTTCTCCGTTTTTTACTTGGCCTGAAGCCGGATCTAATCGGTTGTGTTTTCCCAGGTTCATTTAGTTGGACTTGACATCTTCAATCAGAAGAAGTATGAAGATCTGTGCCCATCTACCCACAACATGGAGGTCCCAAATGTCACGAGGAAAGATTACCAGGTAAGATAACCCTTTTTGCATCTTGATATAACCTGGTGGCCCCAAAGTGTATAAAGCATTTATGATGTGTGCTGGATATTCTGTCCTTTTGAAACACATTGCAACTGGAAGCCAATAACTGTTGTCATTTGGTGTTTTGGCATTTTTTTTAATTAAGAAAACAAGTGGATCCATTTCCCTTGATGTTTGGCATTTAAATGACTAATCCAAATGACAGTGTGGTGCTAGAAAACGCCTTTTTGTTATTGTTAAACAGGTGTGTCACATGCTTCAGAGCTGAGCTGTCTCCGCAGTTGTCGTTGAAGCATTTACAGGTTTCAAACTGGTTAAACAGTGTTTGAACATGTGTGCTTATCCATCCTAGTTTGAGGGCTGTTTTGTGATTAGAATTTCTCTAAAACGCAAGAAAACAATAGTTTAATTATTAGTGGGAACATAGGGAGAGCAGATTTGTTTAGCTGGATCTTGCTCTATTGTTCTATGTGGCAAAAATATTCTTATATTTATCATTTCATTTCAAACCTTTATTTAACCAGATTGGTCATAGATCTCTTTTTCAAGGGAGACCTGTATCTTATATTTATAATAGGAACACTTGGTAATAATAGACAGTAGGTATGTGTATGAGCTATCATATTTACACATTTAAGAATGAGGGGGAAAAACATTGAACAAGCAAGTCACCACAATTCATAATTAAGTCTAACAATAATAATTTCAGGAATTGCGTTATGTGATAAATGAAAAATCAGGACTTATGTTTTCACAAGTCATTCAAACTTGTGAAATTTACTTTTATCTTCAGTGTACCAAAATAAACTCCTTACAATCCCAAGAATCTTTGCAGCATGCCATGGAGTCTCATAAATCAGTCCTTTGGAGGATAAAGTTTACCAATCCAATGTTCCCCAGGGGCTCAATTACATATTTTAGATTTTAATGGCTAGTATACTTTAAATCCAATATTTATAAAAATAAATGCTTAATGAGCATTGGTGACTTTTTGTGGCGGCACCACGGATTAGAACACGCTCTGTTTGGACCACTAACATGGCCCAGTCCCCTACATTTAAGTGTCCTTAACATCTTTCAATCCGTTTGTTGCCTTTGCCACTCTCCTATTGGCCTGTTCTTCTAGGACTTTGTTGACACTGGTTATGAATTGTTTATCAGAAAAAAACGTTTCAACATCTAAAACCATAAAGAATTAACGGTTGACTTTTTCTGTTCTTTTTCTGATGGCATGTTTAGTTTTTGGATCTGGATTCTGGTTACCTGAGCCTTTTGGAAGACAATGGAACAACCAGAGAGGACCTCAAACTACTAGAAAATGAAATTGGCAAAGAAATCAAAACGAAGTTCGAAAACGGAGAGTCTTTTGTGGTGAGTTAATGTGGATTGTTGTTTTTTTACTGGTAGTGGCTATACTGTGAACAACTATACCAATTATGAAATATGTTGATTTCAAATTAGTCATAGAGTAAATATCTTTACAAATGTGCTATACTAAATGAACCGTAAGCAGTGTCTCAGAGCTGTCCGTGTAGTACCACATTTTCTTTGCTTAATGCAGCGTTTCACAAGTTAATCTCTAATAATGACTTCATTCATGGTTTTGTTATTTTTATGAACACAGTGTTGACAAC